AGTTAATGCACTCTTTTGGAAGATGGATGATCAAGCGAAGCCGCCGTACAAATTTGGATATGTAGCGTGTATTATATCAGGGATGGTAAGTATATATATATGTATAACATTGCTAATATGTAATGATTTTTTTCAAATGTTTGCATTATTCATTCTCCCGGGGACACTATATTTCAAATATTTTTACTGACCGAGTAGACTGAGTCAAGCATAGAGCACCAGTCTTATCTTCTCCACACAAATCGTCGCCTTCATGGAGTAAAGGTAGATCCTTCCCCACCTTATCTTTCAAATGTGTGAAGATATTCCTGTTCATCTGCCTCCACCGTCGGGTGCTGTGTAAAATCTTTTAAATTTGGGGAGTTGTCGCCAATACCAACTAAATGAAGTAGACAGTCTGGCCATTTTCCCTTATTTTTTGATGTTGAATTGATGTATTCTCTCCTCATCGGATGTCGTCAAAGTTAACGCTTCTGCGCCATAAACCAGGAGCGACTTGGAGAATTGGATTTTCGATCGTCGAGAGATGTCTTTATTTTTCAATTTTCTACTCAATCCAAAGCAGCAACTGCTGGCAAGAGGGATTAGGCTGATATTGTGATATTTTTATACTCTTATTGAAGATGCTTACCCCACCATAATTGACGTAGACTGTGGGATCTCCTGTATTTGGCACACTTTACCCCAATCACATGGATATGCTATCATCAAATCATATCCTGCATAAAGGTTGGTGCGAATGCCTCGCCATAATCCTGCAATTTTCCACCCAATTTTTTTATCCCAGAGTTACAGCCAACCATGCTTTGGTCCCTCACATAGTAAATAGTATATAAAAAGCAAGATTGGTTTCATCGCCCTTCGGAGCATAAGTGGCAATAAGCGATTTTTGGAAGAATTTTGCTTTGAGGCGGACTTTAATCTATAAACCTTTACATGTTTACCTGAGTCATCATCAAAAGAGCGATGGCTCATTAGAGCCTTAAGGCCTCTTTTTGTTGGAGCAGATTTTGCATTTGGTAGGTCCCAAACCTTAATTACATTCACTGTAAGTCACTGCTTTTCCTCCTTATCTCGTCTGTTGGCGTAGATCTTATCTTTCGCGTGACCCCAAAGGAAAAAGTCGCGAGGTGTTAAATCATAGATTCCTGGTTCCCAATCGCGAACAACTCTTTGAGAGGGAAACTACTCCGGTAACTTTTCCCTGAAAAGATCGATGGTTTCGTTGCTTGTGTGGTATGTAGCGCCACCTTGTTGAAAGCAAGCGTTATTCAGATCAATGCCATCCAATTTCAGACGTAAACAAAAATGATTAATCGTATCTCGATAGCACAATCTATTCACCGTAACTATTGCTTTTCACTTTTCGAAAAAGAAAGCTTCAATGACCCCGCCGGACCATAGTCCGCACCAAAAAATTACATTTACACAAATTCACAATAATATCTCATATTATATTTATGATATTTATATTTAGTATATGGAATTGTTTAATATTTTTTTTGCAGGTTCTTGCCCTTTTCCTATTGATACTGCTATGTAGTTGCCTTAGAAAACGAGTTGGACCGCTGGTGTTGTAAGTTTCGAGCTATTCAAGTATTAGATTGCAATTTAACAGTGTTTTCTTAACTTTTTTGATTTTAAAATTTTTCCAAGTATTTTTGTACTTCTCGCAATCGTTTTTATTTTAATGTCTTTTGTCGCGATTTATCATTTCTCCATTGGAGTTATTGAATATAATGGATTGTGTAATAAGAGATTTGCGTAAGTGGATATTTATGTAGTTTCCTAGTTTTATTTCAATATTTATTTTCCCATATTTTTGGGTGTTTCGCAGCGAGAAAACGAAAATCACCCTCTTCGATGATTTATCACGAAAATGCACCGGAGTCGAGAATATATATACATTGATATCTTACGATTATAAGATCCAGCCAATAGAAGAGTGGGATAATATGAATTTCACAGATCTTGAAAATGAATGCAAGAGTTTCTGCACAACGTTGGATACCAAGCGTCTAGGAGCTGTATTAGATGATCACCTACATTACTTTCCAGACTATGGCTTTTGTACTGCAACCAAATTGGAACAACCATGGGTAGATTATATCCTGAATTTCATTCAGCGTGAGCCATACAAGCATTTGGCGTGAGTATAATACAATTTGAATTCCTTTTGTCAGAAATTACGAGGTATATCCATAAAGTAGGTGTACTTAATCTTTATGGGTTTCGAAAATGCTTATATGTAGTTATAAATAAAACAATTACGACCTGGTTTAGTAGATAAGGCAGGCTATTTTCGAAGCGGTGCTGCAGCAAGCGGGGTAGGCAAGCTATTCGGTATCGAACGCGGTTTCAGATAGGATAATCTAAACTAATCTCCCACATCAAAAACCAGTCCAAAAGCTATAAGACCTGCAGAGCTAAATAGGCAGGGTACAGTCTGCGAAAAGCTTTTTCAACGGCGTATGTCGCTAGCATTGATATCAAAGGCCTTAAATCCGCGTCGTTAGTTCTGCTTTTTCTAAGTTTGACAAAGAAGCAAAGCACATGGGTAGTGAATGAGGACAAGACGAAATATCTCCTGCCCTCAAACAAACAGTCGGCGCTTATACGGCTCGGCTCCCACATCACTGTTGATAGTCACAAACAACTTCGAGATCGTAGATAATTTCATCCATTTGGAGCCAGCATTAACATCAACTGCAATGCCCGCCTTAAAATGCAATGTATAATCACTCTTGTCAACAGATGTTACTTGGGACTGAACAGGTGCTACTGGGACTGAAGGAACGACGGGGTGCTATTGTTTATTCGGCTATAATCGCGTAAGCTGCGCCTACGCCAATGAAGAATAAGAAAAGAAGAGGAAACAGCATAACAATTAGTTACCCGCCAACCCCTTTGTGCCCTGCTTCGCTTCGTCCTTAACCTCCGCGTCGGTTGAAAACCTTTTTCCGGCTTTAGGCAGTTCAACCACAGTCAATCTGCGATCGTCCGACTTATTCAAATATTTCGTCAGTCCCAATTGAAGGTTTTCCGCTCCTCTGTTTATCCTACACCGACGTATGAACATTATAAATTTCAAACTTCCGTTTTCACATCCGCGTATTTCGCACTTTGTCACGTCGTTGCAAAGGAGAGTGTCTAGCTAGTCTGCCATGTTGCCTGCCATGACGAAAATGAAATCCCGCCGGCCATGAGGGCCTCAGTACACTTGCTTTCTGGATATGCCTCGTGTTTCACCATTACATATGTCAATTGCAATTCAACTTCACTTGAATATTTTCTTTTCCATACATACATAAGACGGAGAGCAAAGTGCAATTTAAACTTCTTAAAGAAAGCCAAAGATTTCATACCCAGAGCTCGACAAGCAAACATATGCGCAAGTTGTATCAAATTAGGTAAAGACATATTAAGCTTACTGCCCTTTATAAAGAGGGAAGCATCAGAATTGTGTACAACTTTCAACCAACAATGTGAGGAATTTCGACAAGAGGTTTTCAACTCCACGGAAGAATTTTACGTCTTCAGAGAATTGGCTGAGGAGAGGCTTAGAAAAGACCTTGGTACTTGCGATCTTATGCTTAATTTTTCGAATGAGAAAAAGAGAGAATTTTGTAAATGTGAAACCTTTATATTGGTGAGTACAAATACTAAACTATTTTTCTTTTTTTATAAATCGGAATTTTCGATTGTGATTTTTTTATTGTTTTATTTAAATCTGAGTGGAGGAAAATATTGTTAACCTTTAAGTGGGCGCACGGTGTCGGATCGACCGCTACGATTATGTTTTCGATCATAATTACATTATTGATTTATATGATTTGATTTTATAATTTCTTTTTATCTGAATTTAAGTTACTTGTTTTCGACAAATTTGAGTCTAAACACAATATTAATATAAAAAAATAAATGATTATTATTAAATCAGTGTTTTATTTCTTTAATATATCTCATAGGTCTTTTCGATTGCGCGCGCCCTCTTAAATGTTTATACATCCCTTCGAAGTTAATCATCTTAGTATCTATTCAAACGTCGTCATAATCTTGTAATGAAACTTTTGTTCCCCCACCCTCGGTTATTGTTTCGGATTCACCATCTTGGATATTTAATTTTCACTGCCATTTAGCAGGCTCGAGAAGCATTCCCTGCACAAACTCAGTAAGTCTGGACATCAGTCGCTAGATCACTTGTTATGTTCTACATGAATATTCGCCGGTATTGAAATTTTCTTCAGCAAATTTTTTCGTAGAATTTCGGAGCACAATGCTTGTCTGCCAGCTTCACAAGTTTCTCATAATCACATATTTCGGCCTGCCTTTTTAATGACTCCAAATCAGTTACGCTTCTCTCTCTCCCTCTGTCTTTCTCTCTCTCTCTCTCTGCCTCTCTCTTTCTTTCTCTGCCTCTCTCTTTCTCTCTGTCTCGCTCTCTCTATATCTCTCTCTCTGTCTCGCTGAGATTCTCATCTCCCTCTCCCTACAGTACGTGCAGCGATTTCTCCACTGCACCGCGGTATTCTTTATCTTACTATCACTCTTTCACTGACAATGTTGAGAACCTGCAGTTTTTTTGCAACCATTTTTGATTTTAATTTTTTTTTCGCCCATGCACTTTCATATAAAAAGTGAATACAATTTTTATATCTTATAATTTTATGGCTTATTTAAAATTTAACCTTGTACGTAATGATCGTCTGGCTTGAAAACTTTTTTATTACTCTTTATACTCTAGAATGGTGTCTGGGTTGGCGCTCTTCTCTTTTTATTATTCTTGCTTATAGCACTTCTTCTGTTAACCTGCTTAATGTGGCTATTTGTGAAATGCCATGGTCGACGGTATATGGCTGAAAGGTAAGACGACTTTAAAATTTTGTTGTACTTGTTTGTTCATTCTTTTTTCCCTTTCTTTGTTATAAAAATGCATTGTTAAAAATTCAAGCATTACTGGCTACGGAAGAGACGGCGAAGATGTTGATGCAATTGTTTTACCACCAATAGCATTACCAAGAAATGTAGTAGAGAGGCTTAAAGCCGATCACAATCCTCGTGTAAAGATTTATTCACAAAAAACCTGAGGTAAGTGCTTAGTTACCACTCGTGGTTTCAAAAATAAAGGCCGGTTTTTTGGAATAGTCCATACAGTTTTAGTATTCATCAATAAATTGGAAATTAATATATTTTAATTTATGGGTTAACAATAAAAAAGATACTAAAATAAAGGGTTTCCGATAAAATTAACCCCTGCCTAAATTTAGCTATTTTCTCTTTTAATTGGTAGGAATTTTAGAAACTTTATCTTTGTTTACTATTTTTTTCATTTTTTTTGGCATTTTCGAAAATTTTTATGGGCAAGAACTTGCTCAAAAACTTTTATTGAATAACTCGCTCCAAAAGGATTTAAAGATCTGGTAAAAACACCTAATGCATAATATCATTATATATCTTTTCTATCCCTATTTAGCTATATTTTATAAATATATCGAAAGTAAATGTAGAAAATTATTTTAGATATTTTTCTAATTATTCTTAAAAATATTACTTAAAAATTTCAACCACTGCAATAATTTTCTGATAAACATATATATATATACATATATCATGTAAAAAGTACACCTTTTTTCCATGCTGCTTACTTTGATCTCAAAAACAAATTAAACTGGAACAAATTCAATAAGAAATTAATTTAAAAAATATTATCAATAAAATGTTAAAATAAATTATTATAAAAATGATTGATGTAAAATTTCAAAGAATTTTAAAATGAAAGGTAAATTAAAAAAAAAAAATATTATTAATATAAAAAAGTTAAAAACAAGTTGAGCAAAGTAAATAATCAAATAAAAAGTTCATTTTTATTTATTTTCAATCTAATAAAAATCCTCAAAATCTTTATAGGTGAATAATGAAAATTACGGTTAAAAATAATTATCTTGCTCTCTAATGGACAAATGTTAAATAAAAAATATTAAAATTCAAAATATAAAACATTTTAGAAATTAATTGAAACAGAATTAAATGGCATATAAAATTGAAAATAGCTATTAAAATAAAATTAATGAAAGTACAAAATCAAAATAAAAGAAAAATAATATAAATAAAATAAAATAACTTATTAAAAATAATTTTCCAAAAATTCAATCAAAAATAAAATATAAATCTTACAAAACAAAAACATGGAATTAAAAATCAAAATATAAAAATAACAATTTTTCAAAAATTTTTATTTTATATTCATTTATATTATAAATATATTTATATATATTTTTATACTTGCAAATATATTAAATGAAATCATTTTTTTATTATTTATTATTAGACTCAGAAAAAATCCATTCGATTTGGTTTAGTTTAAGATTTTATTACTTATTGTTAAGCTTCCGATGTAGAGGCAGATTCAATAAATAAATATTAATGTTTAAAAAAAAAAAGATTATCTAATAATCATGTCCTGTCTAGGACGATGAGATAAAAAATTTAAATCAAATTGAACGAGCAATTCTACATACAAAAATATCAAACTATTCATTGATTGAACAAAATATTTAATTTATTTTTTTAATGTGGACACATTGATCACTATCATCGCCTTCAAAATTGTCTGTTTAGAGATTTTGCTCTTCTGCTAGCATATCTTTAAAGCAACATTTAGTTCTTGCAGCTATGCAGTTTTTTATTGGCATCCCTTTAAGCTGCTCTTTATTTTTGAAATCGGAAAGCTTGACCACACCCGTCGATCCTTTCTCGGTCTTGGCCAGCCGAAATACCATAGGTGAGATGATAAAGCTTATGCTTCGTCACCTGTTCTTATACGTTTTTGTAATTCTACATCGACGTTGAATATTCGGTTAGTGACTTTTGGGCACTTTCCATTACCTAAATGATTTTTGATTAAAATTCAACATTTTTTGGAAAAAATGGCCACCTTTTTGGCAATCATTAACAACTACCTCTTAATCTTTAATTATTGCTGTGGTGGGTCACTCAGAGTGTTTCTCATTTTCCACTTCCTTACGGCCTTTGTTCAAAGCACTTCAAATAAATCAATTACAATTTTTAAACAAAGCTTCGTTTATAGCTTCTCTTTGTAATCATACCACCTCAGAGGTGTTTTGAGTTCCCGGACATATAGACATCCTATAGAGGCGAGTTACTGCGAAGGGGCATAATCCTAACGACATTAAATTCTGCACACGATGCGAGCATGCACACCTCATTTCTCCTAAAAACACCTGCTAATATCAGCTTACCCCAGTAAGTCAAAAAGTAGATGGCAGGGTGAAACTACATGTAATGTATCCAAGCAGATCTGGCCGTTGATTGATACAAAAATAACTATATAAGTCTCTAGTCCTTATCAACACGACCTACACAAGCCTAACAACTAATGTAATGGCCGACCCTTGTTACATGAGAACTCTTGGTAGAAGTGTGGGCTATTTCTCTAATAACATCTATTGCAGCTGCAGAGATATAGATGAGAAGGATTCGATAGAGCACTAACCTCTGCCACTGCCCCTTCTTATTGTGGTCAGCCATCGTTTTCTCGGCAAATTCTAATTTGTCGATAATCTTTTATGTTTCATAAAACAAATCAAGTGGCTTCAGCATCTAGAAAGGCGAGAGAAATCTCTTTGCTGCCCGAAAGAAACATAGCCATTATACGTATTCATGTATAAATTTTTTAAAGTTATGTTGAAAGCAAAAATATGGTTCTTTTATAGAGGTTTCGATTGGGAACTTTAACTCGGAAATATTTACGAATGAGTGCGAAGTAGTAATACTTACATACTTTAGAAAAAGAATTTAGTATTATATACTCCCCATCGTAAAATGCAAAGAACTACCTCACTGTCTATCCATCTTGCTCCCCCTCTCTATCTCTCTCTCTCTTTCTCTTTCGTCCCCTTTCTATCTCTCCCTTTCCGGAATCGACTTAATGCTTCACCAGAACTTGGCTAATTTTATAATTGCTATTTTGAATGGAACTTTTTTTGAAATACACGAAAGAAAAGTGAAGAAAGAACATTTCGAAATTTATAAACTTTGAAACATGAACTTCATTTTATTTCTAATTTTTACAAAATTTTCTGTCATATACATATGTACATATTTTTATATACAAACCAACATAACAAAACTTTTTCAGCAAATATATTATAAAAAAATATACAAAAATTTAAATATTTCCCTAAGAAATGCCATCCAAAGCTTACGAATGCGCGGAGAAACCAGCAGTGAAAAAGTTAACGCAATTATTTTTGGATACTTTTGGTACCGCTAAAATACCAGAAGGTAAAATATTCTCTATTAATATGTGCATATGTACGTATGTATATATAATTAAGATATGTGTATGTATGTATGTATGTACACATATAAAATATACCAATCAAATACTAATATTTTGTCATATTAAAACTATTTCGCAGGCTATTGGGAGGGTAACGAGTATGGGCCAAAAACAAAGGAGTTTGACTTTGGCGAATTATTTAACATATTTCCTATACTTATTGTTCTGGCTGTTTTATGTGCATTAGTAATTGTGCTGGCGTAAGTTGATATTACTTATATATAGGGTTATCCATTGACCCATATCCATAGCCCAAATGTTCGTAGTGAAACTTTTTAACAGATCACTTTGTAGTTCATGACTCTTATCTGAGGTAAACTTAAATGTTTCAACTCGTGCATCTAGGCAGTTTTGGCCTTTACTATTAAAGTCATGTAAAACAAATTATGGTTTGAATGAACCTTTTCGCCGATTTTGTGCAAAATTTTAATTCTCATTCCCGCATCTTCATCTCTCAGACTCACTTATCAGCATCAAAAAAACTATTCTCTCAACAATTAAATTTTAAAATTCCATAATTACTAAATTTCAGCTTCTGAATAATTATTTTTTCTGTAGCCGAACAGTTTTAAATATCGACGCTTAACAAACGCTTGCCAATCGTGACTCGGCATATTCCGTACGTTATCCGGATGTCGCCTCTTGGGACAGTTAGGCGGGTGGTGGGTATTCATGCATACGGTCTTCGCGTAGAACCACCAAAAAAACTAGATCCACCGGTGTAAAATCGCACGATTTCGATGGACATCAACATCAAGACGAAAGCTTACGTGGCCGGAAAATTTCTCTTGTAATAAGAGCATATTGTTGTGTGGCGTGTGGTACCATCTTGTTGAAACTACGTATTGTCCAGGTCGTGTTCATCAATTGCAGGCCAAAAATTGAGTAACATATAATCATAACGCTTCGAATTGACAGTGACAGTCTCGCCGTGATCGTTTTCAAAAAAGTAAGGTCCACTCAAGCCCCTGGGTCTACCAGACAGTAAGGCCTCTCTTCAATCATTTAAGGATTCTCGAAGCCCCAAATTCAACAACTTTATTTATTTCCGTATCCCTAGAGTGGGAAATAGAAAAAAATTTTGTACGAAAAATCGCAGTCGACTTTTTGTTGTTCAATCACCTAATCGACGTATGAACGGCGTTGTGAATGGTCAGCTGTCTTCAGTTGTCGTGTGAGCTGCACTTTATATGAATATAAATGTAAGGTCATGTGTCTTTTCAAATTTCTTTAAAAATTCTCTAAAATTTCAAAATTTGCTTCATTAGTTTGGGCTTAATCTTTTTTGAAGTCAAAAAATGGATAACCATGTACGAATAAGAGAACATTCTTTTAGATTTATAAAAAATATTACCAAATAATGATTTTCTTATTTCGTTTTTCAGAATTACATTCCTGGCGTTTTATACATTTTTCGGAAAAAGTGAACATCAAACCTGCAGAAAGAAAAGAATGTTTTCACTGATATTAATTGCACTGCTCCTGTTGTCGCTTTTATTGTCAATGTAAGTAATTTGAGTAAATGTGTGCATAACATAAACCTATGGCCTCCGAAGAGATACCTCATTTTTGATGACGACCACTGCAAACGCCTTAAGGATCATGATTTAAGGGTATATACCTAGAATGTAAAATTCCTTAATTGTAAAGGTGCCGCAGCCCAGTTAGTTGTTGCCCCCAAAAAACTAAGGGCTGACAGCACTACCTTCCTCAAAGTACCATGGGCGGGGCATAAACAAAAGAAGGTGGGTCCTTCAGACATTTACTACAACGGTCATACAAAAGTGGCGTATAATTTTGGTTTTTTATTCAAGATTAGAGAGAGACGCCGTCGCCAAGAACTGAATAAAAAGCTCGCCATATTTCGAATCAAAGCGATATTTTTGCTTGTGTGGTACGTGGAAGAGAAGGTAGATTGGGGTGTATTTTTGAGCGCTGTACTTGTACTTGGAGACTTTATCGCCAAGGTGACTTTGCCGGGACCCAAAATATAATATTCTTGAATACTAGATTCCTGCTTTCGTATCGAAAAACCCGCACCCAGATCCTTGATGTTGTGATAGAAGGGCGACATAGCTCCAGTGCTCATTATATGCGTGCGCTCCGAGAACTCGGATCTTTATCGCGACAAAGATATGCACCAGCCATCGCACAGCAAAAAAACTTCCGATAAAAAACATAAGAATTGCTCGACGTTCGAAAAACTGCAACCACAATGGGTTTCTGCTCTACTCTCTCAACAACTCAAATCAAACAACTTGCAAACCAAAAATTAAATTTGAAAAAGTGGAGCCGTTGTGACAACTTAGTGATGTGAAGAATAAAACACGTGCACGTCGCTCAAGGACAACTGAGACTATTGCCGCTGTAGCCCAAAGGGTTGAAGAAAACAAAGATTTGTTCATTCCTTGTCGTTCGTTTCAAATAGGGCATTCCATAAACGTCATTACACCGTAATTTGCATAAAGCCTTAAGTCTTAAGACTTATAAAGAATAGTTAATACAAAAACTCATGCTAGCCGATCATCAACAACGTCGTGTCGGGGTCCTTGAAATACATGAAAATTATCCGGAATTTCATCGAAAAGTCATCTTGACTGATGAAGCCCGTTTCCACCTCGATGGCTACGTCAATAAGTAAAACTGTTGCATCTAAAGTGTAACTTTTCGGTGCGGTTTAAGGACTGGAGGAGTTATTGGACCTTACTTTTTCGAAAATGAGGCTGGGGCAAAAGTTACGGCGAATTGAATGGTATTCATCTGGACAACGATTACTTTCAACAAGACAACGCTACGTTCCACACACGCAACAAAACCATCAATATTTTAGGATAAATATTTCCGAACCGTATTATTTCTCGAAGAGGTGATCGCAATTGGCCACCGAGAAATCGGTATTTAAGACCTTGTGACTGCTTCCTTTGACGCGACGTGAAAGATAAGGTCTACGCCAAAAGACCAACTTTGACTCAAGACTTCAAAGATGGAATTCGTGAAGCTATTGATAGCATTGAGAGCATACAGCATCTACTTAGCGATTGGGTTATGGAAACTTCCATAAAAAGAATATGGTCCTGTAAGCACAGCCATTGCAGCTATTTGGCTGATGTCGTTTTTGATTATTCAAAAAGTGACTTTTATTCGAGTTATTGGAAAACCCTGTACAAACTACAGCCGCTTATCGACTCAACCCGGAAAATATCCTTCATATTTTTTATTATTATTTATTTTGTCTGATACTAATTGCACCTAAATAAAAAGAAAGACTTTAGATATTTTTTTCTCTTCAATAGATTTGCACTGTACATAGTCTTGAAAAATATTTTGTCTCTAAAGAAAATTTATAAAAAGCCCAATGATGCTCTCGACAGTCGAATAATTGTGTACAAGAAAGTAGTGAACGACATTTTGTTCCATGATCTCAAAAAACTAAGGGACACTACTATTTCTAACTGCAGAAACTCTGGTAAGTAGTATTACATATTTTTGGTACAGTAAAATCTTCATTTGTAAGACTCCCAAAACTTGTTCTTAAATAATAAATTGGATACGACAAATATTCATGCATTTGCCCTTTCTTGTTTTCCCATTGTATTCTTATATAGTTTTTATGAAAGACCCCTATCCAGAAGCAAGTAAATTACGAAGAATTGCCAAAGGTAGAGGCGCATTATTCGACGATTACATTAAATATAACATTGAGCCGTTATTCGATAATACCTTGATGTACGATGACGGTAAATGTCCAAGAAATCAGTTACAAAGCCAAACCTGTTTTTATCCTTCTTTCTCTTCATTATAGCTTTGAGAATGTTTGCTCGAAATTATAGTGCATATGTAGGGTGTTCTCGAACAGGCAAAATATTTGTTGAAAGATCAGATTCTATGAATTACGCTTATCATATATTTTCAATACAAGAAGTAAGTATTTTGAGAAAGAAAACTATTTAATTTATTTCTTCTTTTCGGTGCTTGGTACCAATTGGAAATATCAAGTACTGCTGCGTCTTACTTTCCAACGGAGTGTAGGTTTACCTCTTTCTCTACTTCCACCCGCTTTTACTTTACCGAAAACTTTCAAAACTGGAGTATTCTTATCCACCCGGATCACATGGCATAGCCAGCGCTGCCGCTGTTTCTTGTTTCACTGAATTATGTCAATGCCGCCGTATAACTCATACAATTCATCATTGCATCGTCTACGATATTCGCCGTTTCCAACTCATAGAGGATCATAAATCTTACGACAAACTTTTCTAACGAAAACTCCTAATGTCGACTCATCACATGTTATCTTCGTCCATGTCGCCGCACCATACAGGCGAACGTAAATGATGAGCGACTTTCAGAGTTTGTTTTCGATCGTCGAGAGAGGACTTTACTTCTAATTTCTTATTTTGTCGGAAGAAGCAACTGTTGGCGAGAGTAATTCAGAGGACTTCAGGGTAGGCATTGTGGTTGATGTTAATACTGTAAGTTATTTACGGCTTCGAAGTTATAAACGTCAACAGCGATGTGGGAGCCGAGTCGCGAATGCGAGGACTGTTTGTTTGATAACAGGAGATATCGGTATCTTGCGACGGCACGAGATAGATTGCCAGTAGCTGTTTATAAATTGCCATTTCAAAATACCCTTATTCCGAGTTGTTAGTGAATGATATTTGAGCCGAATTGCAAAACATTTGGCTATCTATCGTTATTGTATTTGTTAACGAACGAACGGATACTTGTTGTCCATATATCACAACACGATCTGTTTATTTACAAGTTCTTCGACGTGTTCACGAAAGATGAGTGGGACATGCAGACTGTAAGTCCAGATGTTTCTTCCTTCTCTATCTCTCTCTTTTTTCTCTCCCGTATCATAACATCCCTATGTATATACATAGGTTAGGTTCGGTTAGATTAAGTTGGGTGACCCATTGACGAAATCTGTAGTGGACTCCGACCTTTATACAGATATAAGCTTTGTGAGCTTAGTATTGGCTGTATATATCTGTATATGTAAATAATATAGTCTTCACAATTCTGCAGTTCTTAGTTCGTTCTTAGAATCTATTCGAATGATGAAGAAATAAGACATCTAGCTTTTTCTTAACTTTCTTGAATGGAACTGAAAGGTTCAGTGCGGTGTCTTGTTCTAAATATACACCACCCTTAGCGTGTTCGTTGGTATTTTCATTATCTTCAATGCCCGTGTGCCCTTGCACCCAGTAAATATGCACTCTTCTGTTTTCAGACAGTACTTGAAATGCTTCTTTACATAAAGCGACAACAACTAAAGTCGTCTGTATGGAATTAAGGTATTTATGGCCTATTGGCTCTACATAGATGTGTATTCTTTCTCCTTGAAAGCTAGCAATTGCAATATAAATCTGCCCCTAGTTTTATAGCAAATATTTCGGCTTGGAAAATACTGCAATTATCTCTAGTTGGGCGCAGTAAACTGAAGCTCCTACTCCTTCGATCATTTTAGAACCATCTGTAAGAACTTGAACAGCTGGAACTAACGCTATACTACTGTGCCTGAAAGTCCTGTCTATCAGCAGCTAGTTTCGCCGCAGATAGATGCTCTGTTTTTAGCTAACAGGTTTTCTGGAGGAATGCTAAAAATGTATGTAGCGCAGCAAATGATGTCGCCTAGAGTATCTTAATGATGCTGATCATTGAGAATCTGAACACTCTTTTCAGCCTATCCAGATATATAATTTGGTTCATGGTATTCCACCATATTAAAACTCCATAGAAAAGAATTGTCTTAAAAACAACAAAGGAGATCCACTAGCAGAATGATGGGGAGAGATCCCAGGCGCAGCACGTATATAGTAGAGCCGCTGATACTCTCTTCACTCGCTCCTCCACACTAAGTCTCCACGACAACTTACTGTCCAACACAATTCCCAGATACGTAGTGCTTTATCTGTAAGGTGTCCTCCCCCAGCTTTGACTTGATCTAAGTTGGAATTTTGTATTTACTAAATAGGGCCATGTCTGTTTCCCAGACCCAGCCCAGTTGACTATGGTTCTAAATGCCTGTTTCGGCACTTACAGCTTCCATCTTCTTCTATAAATAGGTAATACCATTTTATGTGTTAATTATTAATTATTATTTCTTCTTCTATACAGTGGGGATATCTATACTACTCCGCTAAGTATATTTCGATTTTAATGAAGATTTTCGTCCAGACATCACCCACTGATGAAACAATGCCACGAGTCTGCAATGAGATTAACAGGCATTTTGATAAATTGGGTACGTTACCTTAAATTGCGTACCGAGGTACACACAGACGAAGTGTGTGCTATTTGTTATTTTCGTAACTTATAATTTTTATATACTTTCCTACTTATATACAAAAGAGAAAGCTGCTACAACGGAGGCGATTGTTATAGAGGATAATCTGAAAGAACTTAGCTGGAACAGAGATGCCGAAATAATTGGATCAGGCACATTTGGACTTGTTCTATGCATTTTCGCAATTTTGGTAAGTACACTTAAGAACTTGTTGCATTCTCTTGCTGTGGTAGCATTCTAGCTTCGATAAGGTCTATTATCTTTTCATTATTTCCTATTTCTACCATTCCGAAAAGGTAAGGCATTCTTTATTTTGCTGCGTTAAGCTCATTCCCGGTATATTATTAGAAGTTCCGTACAGGCTCTATTCTTCTGAATCAACACTTTGGGGCCACAAACACTACTGTTTACTAGCATGACCACTACGCTACCACCTTTAAAGCCTTCCAGGTTCTCACTGGCTGTGTGGAATTTGATTACATGGGCACGTGTTTTTAAGTTATACAAGCGAAAGCTTGAGACCCCTACAGTGGTTGGCATGCCCCAACCGGGATTAAAAAATAATCGAGACAGACTGGCTTATATACTCTCAATGTCAGGCGAAAAGTAGTGTCCATTGACAGGTCTTTGTGAAAATTACGGTAAAACTTGAAAAAAATCATATTAGTCCTTGCCTCGCAGGACTTGAAAACTGTACGTAGTCTCATTTTTTCCTTTATTTCTATATTACGGTTTCTCTTAACAAGCACTGCGTTGGTTGTATGCCCACTAAAGACCCTGGAAATATTAAGTTAACTTCTTTGGAAAATTTCAAACGCCGCAGCAGTTTAGCAATCCGTTCTAACGGAACTGGAAAAAATTAAAATAAGATCATCTCTAAGTGGAACCTAAGGCTGGTACAGCCACCAACAAGTTAACTTAACCTAACCCACAGTCAGATGAAAGCTCGTTCCACAATTCAGTTCTGCATATTCTCTATTCAATTCAAATATATACATAAAATACAAGTCCTCTTTCTTGTAGAAGGTAATAAGAAGCCTCCTCATAAAAATCTGTCAGAGATGTGATCGGTGCTTTAGGACTCTGTCCCTTCAGATGCGATGGTAAAAAAATAAGCTTGCTTATTTCATTAAGGGAGAGTTATCTGTGAAGATAATACCCTACAGGTGCCGGTAGTAATCGAAGGAAATGTTCAGAAAGTCAAAGAGTCCAAAGGGGAATTGATACAGTGGATAAAGAGGGGGAAAGACCAGCAAAAAAATTCGAGTGGAAAAATCCGCGCCGAAGAATATTGCTACCATTTTCTGGTATAGCGAGGGAATATTAATAATTTATTACTTTCCAAAGGAATACTGGCCACACTAGATTATGGAGTTAGGCGCGTGAGACAATCGTACAGAAGAGATGTGGCCAATTAGCACGCGGAGTGCTGTAACGTATGAGCTGTACATTCACACCGCTCAGGTTGTGATAGCAATTAACCATCCATCCTTCCATCCAGGCCTGGAACTTATTTTTTAGATTTTATAAAAGGAATTATGCGGATAAAGATTTTCAGACGACAGTGAGATGTAAGCGGCTGTAGAAAACCATTTTAAATAGAAATCTAAATAATATTTGTTCAGTGCTATAAAGGCATTTTCATGCACGTTGTGAAAAGTTTATTTCACTTGAGGGAGACTATATATATATATATTAAAAAAAAAAAAAAAAAGAAAACTATACATTTCTCTTCATTGAGTGCTTTAGGTCGTGAACTTATCAGTCGCACCTCGCATTCCAAATTAGAACGCGTTTGAACCTCAAAACCCTTTTCAATTCCAGTACATAACTATCAAACATATTTTTTTTATCCATTTACAGATTTTTGCGGTATTCCTAATAATTCTTCTATGTACTTTCTTCATGCTGCGGAAAACTATGATCAAACCATTGATATTGTAAGTATTCAAAATAATTCATATCGGAGATTATAATATGAAACATTAAATTTTTTTAATTTTTTGATTTCAAGCATCTTTGTAGCCCTCACACTGCTCTTTATTCTGATAGGAATCATAACATTTTTCTATTTTGTCTATGGAGTTATAGAATACAATGAAATGTGTCGAGGAAAAGAAAAGTAAGTTCACTTATCCATTCATATATTTAATCCATTTATTACTCTCATAAGAACCTATGTAAGCCAAATACTTTCTTCTGATTCATCTTAGTTCGCGTAGGCCAAGTCATTCCTCTGCTTCCATCAGGATAGAGTATCGAAAAAATTGGGTTTTAATGTTTCCATTTAATCAAACAGCACGACCTGTTGTGCAACATCCAAGATTCATATACCACTTCATACAGCTCATCGCTCCATCGTCTGGTCACAACCTTTCTTTGGAGCACTTTCAAAACCGATTCGTCGTCGAGAGAGGACTTTACTTTTCAATTTCCTACTCTGTAAAAAGTGTTGGCAAAAGTGATTCTGTGTTGGATATGAAGGAAGCGGGCATTGTTGTTGATGTTAATGTTGGGCCCAAGATAAACGAAATCATCTATGGCCTCAATGTCGTGACTGTCGATTTGTGAGTGCGATGAATTTTTGTTTGATGCCTCCTGTCATCCGTCTTGCTTTCGTTAACTACCAGACCTGCTCATCTTATTTCCGTATCCAGTCTTGTGTAAGCAGAACTAACGACACACCAACAGTTGTACACCTTATAGAAGATTGTTCTTTCTACATTTAGTTCTGCAGCTCATATTATTTTCCAGCAGTAAATTAAAGAAGTCACACGATAAAAAGTAACTTTGCTCGAGACCTCGTTTGGTATCGGAGGACACGTAGAGGGCCTTCATGATCCTTATCCAGTTTGAACAGCCGAGTATACCAAATTCAAACATAGTAGCACTGAGACGTGCTAACCGCTTCAAACCGCTTTAAAAAAGTAAGCGAGATAGTACATGTCGATACTTTTCTTGAGTATCGTTACCAAGTTTTGCGTATGGTGAATATCTAATCTTAAACTCTTTTTCTATTGAACCCATCCGACCGAAATATTGCTAACTAATTAAAACATATCCGCATATTTTTCTTTCATTAATAAAAAGATCTGATTCATTAGTTCAGGTTCTGTGTCTGCCCTACTTGGTTTGGTGGCTGCCGCAGGCACATAAAGAGAATCTCGCGGGACCTACAAACTCACTTCGGCGCTTTTCGAGGCAGCTGAGAGACATTCCTGAAGTAACTGCAACAGAGTGCGGCGTGCACAATTACTGCTATATCGTTCTCTCTACTACTGCTTCCTAAACTTATCACAATTGTTCTATTGTACAAGCACCAAATGTTATGGAACACATACCGTTGCGCAGCTTAGGACTACTTTTATTTTAGGTATAAAGTTTCTCTTAAGTTTATTGTATGCGCTTACGAGCTCAGGATTCTAAAAGTGGATCCTAAGAGGATCTACGTGCTACACTAGTTCAACACTGGGTTAATTTACAAATCACACAATCAAGCTGAATATTGGCGCACGAAGTAGCTCAACACCTTGTTCCAGCTTTAGCGCTAGGTCATGAGTATGAGCATGATATCAATATGAGCATAACATGACTCCGCAATTGTTGGCTTTAGTTGGATATCTCACGGCCAGGGTAGGGGGGTATGTGGCTTACATTTTCAATCGGCATCGCTGTGGTACTCGTAGGTATGGTTTGAGTACTTTTGCTGGCCCTATCTCAAATCAGGCAGTTAATACTTGTTAACACTGTTATATCAACACTTTAGTGGCCAGACCATCGGTTGTTTATTATTCGGGTACCCCAAAACTTTGCTTATATACATATTATTATTATTTTGTATTTTATTCACATCATTTATTGAAATGTTATTATTTCTTTATAGTCACACAATATCAGACAACTTCGCTAATAAAATATTAAAAAATTGCAAAGGCGACGAGAACATATACACATTTTTGGACAGAGGTGATCCAAGATTTGCCGAGAATTCTACAATAACAACTAACTGCACCAACGTTTGCGTGAAAAAACTATTCGAAGTCATTCCTGAACATAAAAATCAAGCCCTCCGTTTACCGTATAATAAATATTGCTACTTCAGACCGGTTTCAAGAGGATGGCTAAAAAATATTGAATTAAGTCGTGAAGAATTTAAGGGTATGGCTGGATATCTAGAGGATAAGTACGTATAGTTTGAACAAAACTAAATATTTTCACTCTCTAATGTCATGCGGTCATAAAAAACAAATTTTTTTAATTGTGGTCGCCCCACGGCCAAGAATTTTAGCCCCTCTGATTGTATTTGTGCAGCGAAAATTAAAGACAGTCTCTCCAATTTTTGTAAGCTACAATCCGTTTGAGGTAATTTTCGATCAGTTTTTGGCATATACTGATGGTATCTCAATCATAACTTGACGAATGTTGGTTTTGAAGAATTCAAGAGTTACAGGTTTATCCACATGAACAAGGTCCTTCAAGTAGCCCCATAAAAATATACCCAACGGTGTCACATCGCACTAATCTCGGATGCTAATTGACGTTGCTAAGACGAAATATTATTTGGCCGGAAATACCTCTCGCCATAAAGCCATATTCGGCTCGTGTTGAAATCACAAAGTGTCCAAGTCATGTTCTTCAATTGTAGGCCCAACAAAGTCGGTTTTCATAAGACCATAAGGCGCCCAGTGGACAGTGACAGTCTCGGCTTTGTCGTTTTTAAAGAAGTAAGGTTCAATCACACCTCCAGACCAAAGAGCGCACCAAGCAGTATGTTTTTTCCTCTTGGATGTAATGCACCCTCCTCAATTGCCTAAATATTTTCGGAGCCCTAAATGCGAAAATTTGGCTTATGTCCGTGTCCTCCGAGTGAGAGATGTGTCTCATCGCTGCAGAGACTAAAGTTGTTATGTGAATTGTGTGGATGTAGGTGTCAGTTCAAGTGCATAATACTCCATAGTGTGCCGTAAGAAAGCGCAGCTCTAGAGAACGTAGAGGAAAAGACACAATCTGGTCTTCCACTGAACTTTCAATTACAGTAGTGAGGTCTTACAGTATCTGTAACCGATCCAGTCTCTTCAAAATTTATTTAAAACTTTACCAATCCAATTACCCGGCATCACTTTGAAAAAACTTTAAGAAACAACATAAGAATTAAGGAAATATTTTTTAGTTTAGCCACTTTAGAGCTTCTCTAAGTTTTTGTTCATTTATAATTTTAAGAGTTCGAATGGACAATAGCCTTGCTGCTGGTATTACCAACCGTTTTAATGGGACATCTTGCATGATTAACTTAGCAAACAAACTGCTAGCATACCAACCGCTACCACCGGACAGAAAAGATTATATGAGATGTAATAGGGGCCATAAGACTGCTAGTGACTTCATAAAGGAGTTGGAAGAAGCATATGCTCGAATAAATGATAATTGTAAAGATGCATATCGTTTCTGTGAACTATTCGAAGAACAAGATCTCGTGAAAATCAATGGCGACATAAATGAATTTAAAAGACGTATTGAAGAAAAACTATTCACAGACCTGGGGACATGTAATGACGTCATTCCGTCACTAACAGTAAAAGAAAAAGAGTTCTGTGAATGTGAAACATATATATTGGTAAGTATATAGTTTTTGATTTTCCATACGTATGTATATCTAATAAATATACATATAATATTCTTGTGCACTTCTACATGTAAAATAATGTCCTTGCAAGGATACATGGCGATGGAACCAACTTTCTAAACCTCCATAGCGTATATGGTGCTATTGAACGTATTGTGTGAAAGATTTAAGCCCACCGTCAACAAACTCAGCGACCGCGATAGCAGGGTATGGCGTACTGCCATTCGGAAAGGTAGGGTGCCTGCCCTGTACCGACCAACATCTAAAAAATTATAGAAATTTAACTTAAATAAAAAATTATGTTACTTTTTCTAATTGCGATCGCCCCTCGGCAGGGAAATGAAATAAAAGCTTCTTATGAAGAACCATCAGCCGATCGGAGGCGACTTGGTATAAACTGTAGGAAATCATGAAGACGCATACCACAAATGGAAAGATGAACTCTGCTGAAAATCAATTCAGCAGTTGTACCTTGTTAGTGTGGCCTTAGGCTTCAAAATCTACAACTAACCAGATATTCACTATTTGCCAAATCTTTGAAAAGACCCGGGAAACTAGTATCAACACTCACCATCTCCTCGTCGGTTTCGACAGCATAAAAATGAGCTGCCTCTACGCCGCTATGTACGTTGAATGTCACCAAAAGCTCAGTCTGGATAGCAAAGGACCTCTACAGTTCATACCATACAAACATGACGTTTCGGACAAAATAAATCCTTAGGTGTGACTTCTTTAGTGTAATACAACAGGCAATAGTATGAACTACAGAGCTGAATAGAGAAAGTACAATATTCTCTAAGAGTCGCAATGTTACCTTGACCTTCTCCAGAACGGAGATCAGATAATGAGATCATCATAAATTAAGAAGTAAAACCCTCTCTCGACGATCCAAGACGAAACAAGGCACTTATCATTCACGACCTGCTACGAGTATGTGGTACGGACGCATGGACAATTACATTATCTGATGAGTTGGGATTTTTCGAGATTTTGTTGAAGAAAATTTGTGGGCATATGCGAGTTGACAACGGTGAATACTACAGCCGATGGAACGATGAGCTGTACGACAAATACGGCGATATTGTCATAGTTCAACAGATCAAGAGACAACGGCTACGCTGGCTAGATCATGTTTTTCGGATGGATGGGAACCCTCCGGCTTTGAAAGTTTTCCATGTAGTATCCACGAATGGAAGCAATCGCAGGAAAGGAACTGGATTGTTTTGATGTACGGGTAAATTTCTGCCGCAATATCCGAGTGATTAACATTGATGTCATGCGGTGGTCCTATCCAAATCTACATCTAGAATTGTGGAAAATTGATATTAATTTTTTTAGTTAAGGAGCTCGGCCAAGTATCGATTCATAACCGTTATCAAGCGCCAGTTATAGATATAGAGGGTGGACCGTTTATTGTTTCCAGTATTTGTTTGCCGCTTTGTCACTCTGCTGTCGCTCCGCTTTCTAAATATTGCAGTTACTTATATATATATTAATATCATATATTTGCATTTATAATAATATATAATAAGTGTTTCTTTAACAATTTTATAGAATGGAATCTGGGTTGGCTGCCTTTTCTTCTTGATAAGCTTGCTGATACCTCTTTTCCTATTGCCCTGCTTAATATATCTATTGAAGATATGTGAAGATCAAGACCTTTGGAGTAGAAGGTAATAATAATATCTACACATTTTCTTATGCACTCAAACTTAGCTCATACAATGCTATGAAAACTTCAAACAATTCAGTATTTCAAAAAGTGAAAAAGCCATGAAAACAATATCCAGATGTTAAATTGAATAGAAAACGTCCACGATTCCGTCGTAACACATATCTATTTCCGATGGATAAAATTTATATCCTATGGTTGGACAGTTGTTACCGTTTATGTTGAAACTACATATACATATATGTTCCAAAATAAAATATACAGGGATATCTATTTTATGGTTTCGAAGATAAATATTTAAATAATTTTTCATGAAATTCGTTTTTTATTATAAACTTTGAGCAAATTTTTGTAAACTTCAATCCGTTTCAGAGAATTTTCGACCACTTTTTGGCACATTTCGGATGGTTTCTCAGTTATAACCTGACGAAAATTTGTTTTTCAAGAGATAAAGAGTTGAAAGTTTATCCCTCAAAAAAGTTCAACGGCGTCAAATCAGACGATCTCTGGGGCAAAATGACATTGCCAAGACGAGATATTATGCGGCCAGGAAATTTCTCTTCCGTATATTTTCAGGCGTTCGTTTTGACTGAAAAATGTAAATGGATAAGCAGGACTAAGGATCGGGCTCAACTTATATATTCGTAATTGTTTTTAAGGTTTATACTATTTATTTGTGTTTGAAGTTGTAGTGAGCGAAGGGTCTACACGTTTGGTTTGGTAGTTACGTATGAAAGACATCAAAGTACAACCCTGTATTTCATCTTAAGTTTTTTTTTCTTTAAAAACATACTCGTGATAAATTCACTACACTCTATCTAACCTTTAATGCAATATTTTCGAGCGGAAAATTAAAAAAAGGAAATATCTGATAAAATATAAATTAAAATTTAAAATAACACGCTATTATCGGGATTTCTTATCTGGATTGTGTCGTGTTGGTATTATTTTATGTTTGGATTCTGTTTTGTCTGAATTCGTTCAAGTCTTGAATATGTCTGAACTGGATTTGGCTGTGTTTGTGTTATGAATTTCGATAGCTTTTATCAGAAACTGTTGTTCCATTTCAGAAATGTATTCGGAGGGCTTGACATTCCCTAGGCAAGGAGCGACCCCAATTAGAAAAATAATTTTTCTACTAATTTGGATATAAGTCGATCCAGGACTCGAACCCTGTCATTCCGAATGGCAGTACACAATGCTAACCGCTCGACTAATCAAAATGCTATGTACTTGTATTCCAAATTTGAACTAAATCGTACCATAAATACGATTATTTCTAATACATCGGTCACATCGTCCTAAATTTTGCAAGATCCTACTTCTATAAAAGATTTTATATAAATAGAATGATAATAAATCGATAAAGGTTCTCTCCGATGTCAACTTCTACAGAGCTACCTACATACATATGTACCACCTCCATTTCCATTTTCTATTCAAAATTTCGGTCTAATAATTTAATATCACTACGACTTATTTTTGACCTCGAAATAGACCTCACTCTCAGTGATAACCTCTACATTTCTTACCAGTTCGAATTTTTTTGAGATTTCCGAAAAATCAGCAGCAGCTGGAAATCAGTAAATTCAAGAAAACATATATTCAAGCACTATTATTATCTTTCTCAAGTTCAATTATTTATGCGTGTGTTATATTTACAGAGACGCCCACGGGAAGGAAGGTAGTACGGAATCCGTGCGGTCAATACTGTTGCCGCCGATAGGACTGCCAAGAGATGTAATAGATTCAATTGAGGCAAGTCCTAATCCACGTATTACCTACATGAGGAAGAAAATGAATTAAATATCATCCATGGAAATACTTACCACGTCACTAATACTACTGCTTTAAATATTTTCATCGTTTTTGGAAAATAATCTAAATTAATGAATTTGAGAGAATAATGCATTGGTATATGAATTTAAAATAAAATATTTGGAGTGACAAAGACTCTTCTCAAAACACGAGTTATTTTCAAAAAGTTAGTGTACTGAGGCTCTCCCGTTCGGAGAGATTTTTATTTTCGTCATGTTGCCAACACGGTAGTGTGGCCAGAACTTACCCCTTTGCAACGAGACCCAGTTCGAGTTCGCGAATTTGAAGGCGGTTGTGCGTCTTTGCATGATGAACAGAGGAGCGGAGGCGCTACGCGACCTCACGACGCGGCTGTTAAAGAGAAGAGGAAGTAGTACACCTCCACATGGATTGGCGGGAAGCCACTTCTAGAAACATAATAGGAACAGAAAAAGATAAGAAATTGTGTGGATATAAGGAGAAGAGCAAATTTATGTTGGATTTGTAGTAAAAAATAAAGAAACCTTGTAACGTGACCAAGGATACCTTCTTCGTATGCTTGGAATACACATAAGAGGTAGCACTCAGCAAGATCTCCCAGTATGAGGTGAAACTAGTTGTTGTTGTAGCGACTTGCTCAGCCCCGCCTAGAAGCAGCAAAATCAGTCTATGTCGTCGTGATCAACGAAAGATAAGTCCTGCTGAGCAGACTGTTAGATGAGCGAAGTTTACTAGTTATGCAAAGAGATTTTTAGTTTCGAGCGAGAACTCATTGCATGCCAGACATAAGTGTAGCATGTTGAGGCCAAGGAATTGAGTCAACTACAGTGCGTGAATCTTAATTGTGCCACTATTACTAGAACCAGCGAGTCAATTCCTAAGCAGATTTGTACGTTTTGTGTAACTCCCAGTAACTTTTGGTTACTAGTTATCGTAACTCTTACGACGTCGACTTTCTCATTTAGTTTGAACCGTTACTTCTTCGTCCAACTGGTGAAAAAGGTTCCCGAAAACTTCACCAGTTGCAGTTGTAGTTGCCGTGCAGTAAAGAAGTGGGAAAGAACAGCTCCGCTGTTTGCCTGCTAAAAAGGTTATAAATATCCTTATCACACACCAATATCGAGCAGTGTTGATTTTGTTGTTGTAACCGCAAATTATTCCCCGAATTGGGAGTGACAGTCCTTGGCTGGATAAAAATCCGGGTGGTTTCGGTATAAAGACCCGACTGCCACGGGAATATTGGATTTTAGTCGCCTCTTACGACAGACATGCCTTACCACGGGTCAATTCTTAAGCCCCTAACCCGCAGGGGTGAATATCGAGCAGTCGTCGGCGCTGATGCGTGGCTGGGCATAGGTGGTGAGTGAAAGGCGATATCGACAAGGTCTGAAATAAATTCAATTATAGGGAGAGAAAGGTTATCGTTCGACGTGATTTTCGTATGTTGACCGACTTCCCCGGTTTTAGTAGCTGGACCAGTCCACCAGTCCACCTTGTCGCATATTATTATAGTGGTCAATGATAGATTAGAGATCTAGCTCCAGCTGGTGTCAAATGCTTTGGCATCAGCATGCTTATTTTGTCGGTGTGAATGAATTTTGGAGACTTCAGTCCTACTTGTTGCCATAGTCAACGGGTGGGAATGGGCTTCATTACTCAAGGTTACTTTTCGATGAAATTTTCATCGTGAATTTTAATAATTTCAATGCATTGTTGGATCGTGTATCGTTCCATCCTTAGTACTGCCGTAGTTTCTCTTGTCAAATGTCAAAAATATCAGCTTCAAAAGTGACAACTACCGGAATAGCAGACTATTCAAGATAACACTACTTATTGGAAAACCCTTTATATATGTACATCCGTATGTATTTGAAACATTTTCATTTATTGCTGTTCAAAAAGATCAAGCAGCTGCAGCACCACCAACGTTCTTGAAAGAACAACAAGAATTCAAAACTTTTGCTAAATTTTCAGCTCAACGCAACTCCACGGACGAACGAATGTAAATTATGTAAATATGTTAGTGCCACAAAATGTGCGCCATTCCCCATTACCTACCGCAACCTTCTCAGGGAAAAATCAAAAACGAAAAACGAAGATTCATACAAAAATTTCGTGCAACAAGGAGCGCATATTGATGTAATTTCAAAATTTCACTGAAAATTTCACACAAAATAAGGAAAATCAACGAATTGTGGAAAACTTTTACCGCACACTTTTTAGTGATTGAGTTTTTCGGTATGAAGCAGCGCAAATTCAATATGAATTTATGTAAAATTATTGCAGCGCACAGCGTCTAAGGATTCGTGTTGACTTTTATTGTGGATAAAAATTAAGTGAAATTTTATGTATTCATTTTAAATCTGCATATGTTTATACATTCATATGTATTTTCATATGAGTTTGAAACGGCATGCATAATATTTACAATATATATATTTTCGAACATTCTTTGCGGTCCCGCAAATACGGTTAAACTAGATCAGTAAGTTAAACCAATTTTGGTATGTAGAAAGAATTCGTTTGCTGGATTTAAAGAAGATCCTATTGACACCTTTTGGGGTGAAATCTAGAGATCCATATAATCACCGAGATTTCTCTTGAAAAATGAGTTCTAATCTATTGGACCATTCTTCTTTGCTGGCGTAGACAACGCCCACACGATTATAGTCGAGTCGCCATTAAAGCCTTCTTTTAGCTGTTTGACGTCAATTGGAAATACCACGTATAGCCAAGTCCTTTTCCAAATGGTCTTTCCATCAGAGTGGAGGCCTTCTTCTTCCTCTGCTTCCACCAACGGGTACTGCATCGAAAACATGGAAAGCTGGAGAATTCCCATCTATTCGCACTCCATGCCCTAGCCAGCCAAAAATGTTACGCAAAACTTGTCTCTCAAAAACTCCTTACTCCGATTCATCTGATCTTGTCATCGTCTGTACATCCGCACCATATAGCAGGAGGATAAGCAACTTACAGAGCTCGTTTTTTCTCGTCGAGAGAGCACCTTACTTTTCAATAGCCTTACTCTGTCTCAAGAAGCACCTGTTGACAAGAGTTAACACTGGTTTCCAGATACTTCTGGTCACTGTAGAAGTTCAAAATGAAGTTAACAAACAACCATTTAAGGGAAATATGTACTGAGAAGTATTTGAAAGAGCCGAAATTCCGCATTGAAGGCAAGGTGATTGCTTTAGTGTTTTCGCTCGACCGAAGACTTCAAGTCCAAACGTCGATCGTGTCGGATTTATTTACAATACTTAGACAAGCGACTTCACATAACCCTACAAAAAATAGTCCAACTGTGACCTCTGAGGCAGGTAATGCGCTCACTAAGAGTTTCTTCCAATAAATGTATTATTTCGTCGTGTTGTTGGAACTAAAGATTGTCCAAATCAATATGCTCTAATTCAAATACGAGGAAATCATTACTCATGACTCCAAAGCGGAATCTATTGATTGTATTCTTCCGCTCCATTTTTGAAAAAACATGGACCAATGATTCCATGCCCATAGAGTACTCCGTACAGTGGTTTTTGGAGAATGAATTCTCTTGTGAAAATCGGGATCGGTGGTCATCTTGTTTTGGGCCCATTCACAGAACGTGCGACACGGGTGATGGTCGCTCGGCTTCACTTCTCTCACCATTTGGATATTGTAGCTCGGAAACCGATTTATGGTTCCTCGACCCTGCTGACATTATGTAGAACGAATATTGGACACAGTGCGCAATGTGTCACATGATCCGAACCATTATTTTGGTATTAAATTTGCACTTTTTTCAAACCTTGCTCCGAAGTAAGTCTGCTTATTATGAAGTAACAGCTGTCAAAAAGACTAACTCCGAAGAAATTATTATCTCATTAAAAACCAAATGTCTAAAAATAACACTCTTTACTACCGCTCACGTACGCAATAAGATCCTAAAGTTGTTGGGGCAAGATAAAATAACGTTATTGACAACTTGCAAGGGTATCGGCCACCGGTTGTAAGCTACGCCGCACCGATATCGAGGTGGGCCACTAGAGAGATGCAGATGAGGAAGCGACAAATACGTTAAAATGCCTTCTGATATCGCCTGTGCACTATATACATAGGGAGCAGTACATGTAAGATAATACAGTGGGAATTACTCTTACTTGAAACGGAACTGTTCCCATACCTTGACCACCAATCACAAAGAGTTAACCAAGACCTTCGGGAGTCTACCTCTTTTTACGTCCCATAAAATGTACGAGCGAACGATTTCCTGTGCGTCTTATTAGATGAACTTTGCCCATTCCAATACAAAGAAAATATAATGTATAATTATTTACTGTTATTAAATGTTTATTTTAAATTGTTGTTGTTAATATAGTTTAAAATATTTAAGCATAATTAGATAAATATACGTAGATTCACTGAACACGAAGGGGGAGTACTTTTTATGCAAGAAGTTTAAAGTAGAAGTTTTTATTAAAATCAAAATAATTATGCCTATGTATGTACGTATAAAGTTTATAGAATTTATTCACTAATATTGGCCTTATTTTCGTCTGCTACATCTTTAACAGGAACTTCCTCTTTGCATGTGACTTCGTTGGCTGCAGTTTCGGTCACTTCTTCACCGTTTGCATGCACCAAATCATTATTTTCCTCCGGGAATGGTGTTTCGCGCAGTCGTCGTACCATATCCTCCAAACTCTCACCGTCCGTCTGTTGATTTTGTTTCACGTCTTTGTTGTTGGCAGCTTCAGCCCGAATCGCGGCATTCAACACTAACCCGGTAGAACTGCCCCGCGGTTGCTTAGGAATGGCACCTTTTTGTGCGGCGATTTGACTAGGTGTTGTGGTTACCGTTACATGATCTTCCAGCTCCTCCGGCACAATACTAGAACAAGCGATATTATTGGGTGTTGGTAATAGTGATGCTACGGCTGCAGCTGCCTCCATGCCAGTCGCACATTCAACATCATCCTCACTAGACGCTTTGTCTGTTGTGGTTGTTGTTGTTGTTGTTAATTTAATGCTGCTTGCTTGACGATTCTGCTCACGCGCAGCAATGCGCTTGATCATATCTGTGCCACGTGCCGATGAATCCGTTAAGCGGTTGAGTAACTCCTTACCCTCTTCCTCGAGTATTCGTAGGCGTTCCATACGATTGGAAGATATTTGTTCGATATTCTCTAAACGTTGTTCAATACTCACAGGTGATGTGGCTGGTGATTGTGATATATTTGCAGAGGTTGCAGTTTCGGAAGCAGTCGCCTCGAGTTCCCCCATTTCCACAACGCCGTGTTGTTCGTGCAACGCATCCAATGCACTACCCAACTGCGTGCCTCGTTCATTGTTGCGCGTTAGTCTATTTAATAACTCTTTACTCTCGTTCTCTAAGCGCTGTAGACGCGCTGAGCGTCGTGCTGTGTATGCTTCTTCATTCGCCGTTAAGGGATTCGGGTTAACAGGTTCTGCAGGTAGTTCCGCTTCGTTTGTGTTTGGCGCAAGAGCTATTGACTCGCCGCCCTGTTCGGCTTCCTGTACGGTTGCTACGCGTTTCAGTTGCTTTTCCTCAGACTTGCTAGACTCTTCTTCTGTATTACTTTCAAAGCTTCCCTCTCTACTCGGTCCACGTCGCAAACGATCCAAAGAACAACGCAGATAATGCCCGCGATCGGCTGTGCGTTTGATGCGCGACAACAATTGACGGCTTTCTTCTTCCAATCGCCCCAAACGCTCTGATCGCTTGCGTGTATATTCCTCCTCTCGTGGGGTCAATGTGCCTGTTACAGGCACAGAGCTGGCGCGTTTCATTCGCTCAATGGGCTTCTTTTTAAGGACTTCATTCAATGGTACCACATACTGCACAGGCGCAATCTCATCTTGAAAACTACGCAACTGCACTTCCAAGCGCTCGCGATTATCAGATGTCTCGAGTACACGCTGAATCAATGTTTTGCATTGTTCTTCAAGTCTTTGTATACGTTCAGCACGTTCACCTTTCAAATTCACCTCCTCAGTGGCATCCGTTACGTCGTCTCCATCCACACCTTCTCTTCTGCTACGATGTCTGGTTCTTGTAACGATATTCTTCGGTATAGCACCACGGCTGTATATGCCCACTGTAGTCATATCAAGTGCAGCACCAATCGGACCACCACTGGCGTTAGTGTCTTCATCGCCATAAACGTCGACCACATTATTACTAACTTCACTGCCATCTCGCCAACCACAAGTTGGCGGTGCACTATTCCAGCGTAACACTATCTCTGCACAATCATCAGCCGCACGTCCAGGTGAAGTGCTTTGCATGCGCTTTATCTTGCGCGTATGTTCAAACATTTCCTTTAAACGTTTACGCCTACAAGCAGTAGCCGCACCACCAGCTCCACTTGCAACACTACCACCCACACCTTTAGACGTGGCGGCGACCTCTGTGTCATAAGCCGTAGTACCCCCAGTCGCTGCCGCAGCCATTTCATCGTCGGAGGCCTGACCTGAATCACTATAGCCACTCTCAGCTGAATTGTTGGCATGTTCCAATTTTCGCAATGCAAATTCGCGTCGTAAATCATTCCACTGCTCTTGACTCTCGTCGTTTTTGGCACGTGCTGCCGCCCATTTACGCCGACAATATTCCAGCTCGTCTTTCAGTTCGGTAAGTAGGCGACGCTTCTGTTGCAATTGATACCGTAATATTTGCTCTTGTGTGTGCAGTTGACGATGTTGACGCTGCATTTTGCCAACTAAATGCCAAGTTTTTGTCAGTTCCAAACTAACGGCACTCAGCCGCTTCTCCTGCTCGTTCAGTCGATATTCAAGATGGCAGTTTAAGGTTTTCAGGCGATTAGTTTCTTTAACCAGCGACTTTTTCTCCAATATTAAATCCTATCAATGGCATGTGGTGAGTTCGTGCAAATACAGAAAGTTAAATAATTTATTAGTGAAATTATCAATTACTATAGATGTACATATGTTTATAAGAATTATGAATGAACCATAAATAAAGGCATTCATTATCTAGTTTACTCTTTTTTACCTATTATGGGGCGTCGACGATAGCCGAAACGTTAGCAGAGCGGAAAGTCATATCGAACAGAGGAAAGTGTCTTCGGATTTCATATAAAATGAAGGGGTGGGCTCTACAGGGGGTATTGAAATTTGATACAATTTGTAGACTTGTAACCCTGGATATGACAATATTTCGTCGTTTTTTCGGGCTTACTGTCGGGATATGTATATGTTAAAAACACTCTGTTTATTACCAAGTAGATTGCTGATTTCCCGAGACTCGAGGACATCAGATGGCAGCACTAGCAGCTCTTCGCTTCAGTGAAAAACAGTGGAGTAACGTGTAATCGCACCAGTCGAAAAGTTAGTACAGCGATTATCATTCAAAAAGTTATCCCTGCGGGTTAGTGGTTCAAGAATTGACCCGCGGTAAGGCATGTCTATCGTAAGAGGCGACTAAAATACAATAGTTCCCACATCAGTCGGGTCTTTATACTGGAACGAAATGGATTTTTATCCGGCCAAGGTCTGTCTCTCCCGCAACATTCCCAAGGACTACTTAGGGGATTACTTTACTTCATAAAGGTTGGTGCTAGCGCTTGCATGGTTTTCCTATATCCCCATGTCATAGTGAGCACACACTCGAGAAAGGGTAGCTGCTACGAGGTGGGACCCATATTGCGTGGATAAAGCAAAATTTTACTGGCAAGAACTGCGCAGACGAATATGCCTTTCTGCTTAAAAAGACATTGCTGGTGGAAATACCTAGAGTAAGGTAGTTATGGTGGGCCGTGCTAGAGCCGGCAACGTTAGATTTATCGAAATTAACAAGGTGTGAGTGGGGCTTATCAAAAGCCAGCAAATTGTAATGTCGTAAGGATATTAAGGAAATATACGAGATCCCTATAGATTCGCCGTCACAAAATGTAAGAAAACGGTGAAAATAACGAAGCACCAACTGCCCAACTTCCAGGCTAATTTCTTGAAAGAGGTGAAAGTACGCGAAACCACGTCTACGGGACAATATTCGGTGGAGACTTTCATCGAAAAAGCCACGCTCTAGACAAAAACCAAGGTTTGCGAAGGAAAGGAAGGCGACGCACCCCGAGCCATAACAACGGATTAGTTAAGGTGGGTGAAGGCAGTTTTCCGAACGTCATCCAGGCATTATACCTTTGTACCTGTAAAAATGACGGAAGATTCAAGGGCAATTTGAAGGTTGTCGCTTACGAAAACGCACAATTGGGGACGCTGTACAAGGCTACAGTCTCAAAGGGTGGGAGCTGGAGAAGTAAAATTGGTAGTAGGTGAAGGAAGAAGACATGATATTTCATGCTATGAACCTCTAACTCACTACAATAGATGGGAAGGTGATAAAAGTGGAAAATATGGTGGGCCTGAGATAAGTGCGATTGAAATATGAGCTGATTGCGAAAATCATGCATGTAGCAACAACACCCATTTCTTATGCAACTGTCTTACTGTGGTCAATACTAGGTTTGAGAATTTTGGCACCGTATTGCGGGATGGTCTCTCTACGATTGCCGTCGTCAAAGTTATGAAGCTAATGCGCATTATTTGACAATCAGATTGGTTGTTTAGCGAGGTTTAATTTTCAAGAATTCAGAGCTAATCAGGATTAAATGCAGCAGATGTGGTATATTGGTAGCCATCACAATGCGGCCTTACCTTACCTGTTATTTATATGTGAATTATTACATATAAATTCCTTTTTTTTGGAGCTGCTCTATCTTATGGCTGTTACTTGATTTAACTTGGTACTTAGACTTACTCCGGATCATTCTTTGCAAATCGATCAAATTCATAACCGAAATCATAGTTCGGTTGTAACCATGAGTCGGTTTTCAACCAGTTTACTCAAATTTATAAGATCGTACAGTGCCCACCGAAGATGGTATTACTGCTGTCAGACAGAGTATTCGCAAAGACCAAAATGAACTCATGCATTTCGCGCAACAATTGGAGCTGTGCCTATGAGTTTTATGGAAAATTTCGGAGAAAGATCTTGGTTGGAGGGCATACTATATCCAACTCGTGTAGGAATTGAAGCCGAACAACCACCAAGTGAGTCGCACATTCGTTGAATGAGCCCAAAACGAAATGCCCAATGATCGATGAAGCTCACTTTCGATTGAATGAGTACGTGAATAAACAAAGTTGTCATATTTGGAGTAATGATAATCTTCTAGCTATTTTTCAGACGCCGTTACATCCTCACAAAGTCATTGTTTGGAATGCTCTATCGGCAGAGAAAATCATTGGTCCACATTTCATCAAAAATGAAGCCGGCCGTATTGCTAAAGTTATTGGGGAACGCTATAGAGCCTTGGTGCTTTTGTGAATGACCTTTAATTCCAACCAGACGGCACTACATTCCATTCAGGCATCGAAGCAAAAAATTATTTGGAAGAAACTATTGGTAAACCTATCATCCCAATGTTGTGGGCCTGTGGCAAGTCCTCTAAGGTCGTGGGATTTAACACCGCTGGACTATTTTTTGTGTAGTTAAGTGAAGTAGCTTGTCTAAAGAGATAACTTCGAGATGAGATGAGCTAAGTTCTAGGTCAAACATTGAATTATATGAGTTTTATGTCTTTTTGAAAACCATCCTTACATACATATATAATACATATCTCAGAATGCATATTTCGATTATCTTCATTCTTAGGAAATCGTGGGTTCGTCTTTTCAGTTTTTCAATTAAACGAATCTCACGATCAGCAAAGCATTTCACGGTATTTGATTAAAGCTTAAAGTCACATGTCATTACATAAATTTACTACTCTCTTTACAGCACTTTCAAGTAAAAAATGATCTATTAAAAGTATCAAACGTCTTCTTAACAACTTCATCAACTTTTACGAAGTGCCTTTTGAGTATTCAACCGCATGTTATCGTTAATTCATTTATGTGCTCATCATACGTAACATGGCAACCGCAAAGAGTGGTGGAAAGTCTTCAGAAGCGAACATTTGAATTTACTCAAGTCTGACAAAAATAATCAACCTGAAAAGTACAACTCTGCGGAGTCCATAAAACTGTGCAAGTGATAAATGTAAAAAACTTGTGCAACACGTCGTTAAGTACAACGAGCACTTTACAAAACTCTGCAGTATTTCGCCGCAGCAACATTTACTAAGCGGAAGTGGCTGCTAACAAGCTTGACTGGCGCGTCATACTCATGCCGAAAATGCAACTTTATGCACTCATAATGTTGATATGTATGCGGGGTATGCCACCTTCTCAGCACGCACATTAACTACACTCACCTTTAACTTAATATATGTCTTGCTAACGCTCAGTTCCGCCTTTGGTCCATTGGCCGTCTCAACGGATTTGTAGCAATCCTCGCTAGCGCCATGCTCCTGAAATTGCACCCGCTCGATTTTGTGGTGACTTAAGAGCTCCATTAGCACTTTCCAAACTTTCGGCAAGTTGCCAATAATTTCTTGTGTCGTTGCAACTTTACTCATAACTTCTGGTTCATGGATTTTCAATGTTGAAGATTCCGTTGCAGCACTGCTGCTGGCTGCGGCTGGTAATTTCATCCGGTTCATGCCGGTACTACGGCGATGATGTTTTCGACCGCAGTGTGCGCCTGTTGACAATGCAACAGTTGCAGTAGCTGTAGCAGCAGCAGGAGCAATTGCTTCGTCAGTTTTACACTCGCTATTGTTGTGGTCTATACCTTTGTCAGCAGTGGGCAGTTGAGCTGTAGCATCAATTGGTTGTTTTTCTTCTTCTTCTTCTTCTTCGTGCTCTATGCTTTCCTTTTTGTGTGCATTATCGGGCACATCTCTCTCCGTTTCGTATGCCTCCTCATCAGCGCTAGTGTTGGCAGTTCCAGGTGTGGGGCTTGTGTTGCCCTCAATAGACTTACCACTCAAAGCTGCCTGCTCAACTAATTCGAACAATAATTTCGGCAGTGTTGCGCCATCAGTGCAATTTCCTTCTTTGATTGCCATGTCGTTCAGCAGGCCACGATTCTCCTCCAACATCATAGTAAGTCGATCAATATCCAAGTTATTTTCGCCATTGAATCCCATCACCATCTGACTGAAGAGCTGCAAATGCATAAAAGTGTAATTAATTGGTTGCAACTGTAGAAAAGTACGTCAAACAATGAGGCATACATGCATACATACAATATATACGAACATACGGAGGAGTTGTGAAGGATTTGTGCAAATTAATGTGCTCGTCTGTACGTGTGTGTATTTGCATGATTTTAATTGAGTGTTGGTGCTTTTTTTCTTGAAATCTTTCTAGCTGCAGAAATGTGTACACTTTAGGCCATAGACTGGCTCGGAATAATACAGGCTGTCAAGGCTCAAGCACCACTGATCTTAATCTTTGGAATGCAACTAAATATTGAGCCTCAAGAATAAGAGCAATCAATTTTATTTTGATAAAGAATGATTTCATTTCCAAAGCCAGAAGAAGATCGAAGCAGCGTTTCGTACAATGAACTAATTCGATAAGAATACACTTCCAGGTCAGCTTTCTGAATTCCATTCTTTCTCAGAGCGATACTTCGCACAATCGAGCAGATTATTTCCTGTTGAGAGTCAAACTTAATAAGTTTGGGTAAGTTCTGTTTATTACTTCGTTCAATATTTATCTTGAGTCAATTAGGATGTGTAAAGTTAAAGGTCTGCCAGGCGTAGTTGTCACCTGATTGCGACCATTTTCAAATCCTATTCAAACATACCTGGGAATAGTGTCAAATATTCGGGTGCCAAGCAAACCCAAAATATCTTTTCACTCTCTTATTTTTACATTTTTTATGATCATCACTAACAAATATGGTTCTAATTGTAGGCTTTACAACCGCTTAAGAGATTTTTGGTCGAACTCTTCCAGCAATTTGTGGTGTGTCACTTAACGTTTTTTCAACGAATGGTTGAACCAAGAGTTTATTCTAAGCCGCATCCGAACGGTCGTTGCGTTTTTATGAGGAGCTATGACTTTTACCACATAAATAAACTGGTAGAGCTTGTTATCCCCTGCCGAGGAGGTAACCTTTGGATTGATTGATTAAATTTCTATAAGTTTGAATGCTGGTCGAATCAGGAATCTAACCCTGACGTTCGCAATGCCCACCACTCAGCTATTTGGCAGGGAATTATTGTTAATTTCGTTCTCTTCGAAAATACTATTACATGGGAGGTAGAGGTGAACTTGGTCCGATTTTATCCATTTTTAATAGCGTCCGTACAAGGTCAAGCTTCATCAAAATATCTCAATACTTACTTGAGTTATCGAAAAGACCGTTGGTCGGACTGTCGAACAGACTACTATATGAGTTCTAACAGCTAGTGCCTAGAAGCTCCTTATGGAAGCTACCACAAAAACTTTGATAACAATTTTCTTTTTGTTGTTTCAGCGGCTAAGTAACCTTACCTAGGAGTAATCAAAGCTACTTAATATCTAAAGGGAATGCCAAAATACAAGCCATTTCGACAGATTCCAATCTCTTTAAATCAGTTCATTCTATTGAAGATAAAAAGCTTTTGCAACTTGACCTAAATAATTTAGCTAGGTGGTGTGTTGCGAACTGTATGTCCCTAAATTTAAGTGAGTTCAAATATATGTGTTTATCCAGAAAATCTTTCAAATGCTTTGACTATATGATACATAATCACAGTGTTGAACAAATTACTGACTTCATTCATTTGGGTGTCACAATGGACCCTACGCAACATTTTAGAAATCATATAAATGCTGGGCCGATTTTGGAATATGACTCAGTTGCCGCATTATCAATTATATAGTAAATCTGTAGCTGTTTAATGTAAGAGGCAAGTGTAACCCCGACCTTCCGCGATCGGTTTCGGGCTCAGAGCAATCTGGACTGTTACTGGTTTTTGGTCACCGGTCGGTAGAATTTTTCGATTATCCCTCAGATGCGCCCCTTGGTCGGTTGGGCGGGAGCTGGGCAGCGCTGGGTTCGTCGTTAAATAAACATGTAAGTAACATTAAGGCCTGCCGGTTACACATTTCAATCTTCTTCTTATTCTTTATAGTTGGCGCCGCCGAGTCCAAAAGGGGACTCTAAATGTTTCTTCTTATTGCATTTCGACACTGATTGGGAACCCCAAGTAAAGCCAGATCGTTCTCCACCCGTACTTTCTATCCAAATGAAAATCTACATTTACCTCGGCTTCCAACATTTGCTGCCCTTTACTCTCGACTGAGTAGTTACGATGGCAGATAATACAGATTATTGGATACAAGCGAAACCGAATACATCGGAATCGCTCAAAAATGAACACTCCGTATTCTTTAACTCCGGTATCACTTCAACTCATAGACATATCTACAATTTTCTCACGATTTTGAATTTCAAATTTATAGCTTTTTAGTTAATAAGAACACTACTGCGCTCTACTTGCACACCCTTTATCCAAATATGATTTTAAGCAAATTCAATCAACTCAATGACTCTCAAATGAAATTTCGACACTTCGATGGAGGAGTGCATAGAAGCTGCCTGTCATTCCGGTTTACCAAAACTTCTTAATAAGAAAAACATGAACATACATACATACCCCTTTGCATATACATACACGTAAGTATGCATGTAAGTATGCATGCATCTGTGTGCATTATAAATTTGTAAGTAAAGACACAAAGCAAACAATTTCCAAGTTTACAATTGACTTGAAATCCGCTTACAAGCATTTACCATACCCGCGTATAGCATAAACACACCCACACCCATACGCACACACACGCTGCCGCACACACATATACACGACATTCTATACGCACCATATTTACAGTGCCCATTTCCTCTTTGAGTGCTTTCTTCTCGAATTTGTGTTCGTTGCATTCCTCGCGCAATGCTGCCAATTCGTTATTTGCGCTTTCAATTTCCTTCATCAATGTTTGATTATGTTCTTCGAAGTTTTTCGTTCTGCAAATAGAGCAAAAAGATAAAAAAAAATGTACCAAAATAAAATAGAATAAAATAAAATAAAAGTAAGAAACTCTTCAGAAATTTTGTTCAAACTCATATAAGCTCATGGAATATTTTGACAAGATGTGCATTGTGTGAAGTGTGGCATTCGTGAATGTGTTTGCATTTTTCTTGCAATTAAGAAGAAGAAGTAGAAAAAAATAGAATTGCCAAATGTAAACATTTTACTTAAACGACAATTGAAAAGAGAAGTGTAAATGACAGATTATATGTTTGATTGTAGTATAATTTTCCCTATGTTGGCAATGGCAAATGCGAATTCGATTTGGCTTAGGCCCGATTAAGGCAGCATTCGGTGTGTGTGTGTACACTGCGTATGAGTAATATTTTTAAATCAGTTGCGTTGAATCAGGCTTTGAGCGGAAACAATTATTCTTAAGCATTTTATTCCCGAAAACGGTTGTTTTCGTGTTAGTGTAAAAAGAGTGTAAATATTTTGATTCAATAATGACACGAAATTTACAAATGAGGAATTGGAAATAACTTCAAAGTACATACTCAAAAATTTCCATAAAATGGAACAGAGAAGCCAAGAATCTTCGTTTCAAATACTATGGACTTAAAATAAAAAATCTGCCGAAGTGGGAGATATTTTGGGTGGCTTTCTGTGTAGGAGAACACGCACATAGAGGAAGCTTTCAACAATGTCTTTCTCAAAAAAGTAATAATGAATCTCAGTCAGCACTCGGGCTGCCTCTACTAAGCAACAGAGCAGTGTTTTCTGTGATGGTTCCACAAACGTTAATATGTGCTTATTTATGGCAAACGGTGACTGTTTTTTGGAAATGTTTCAACAACCATGCTGTCTATTTGAGCAAGAAAAGCGAGCTAAATGTGAACGTAGCAAAAACAGAAATGACAAGCTGCCTCGCTTTAAGTCACTCCTGTTGGAGATTATCCTCTCCAGCGAAGTCAAATATCTCAGGATAGTCTTACTTGCTATGTAAGAACCGCTTGCGAACGGGGATAAGAAAAAGTTGGGGTCTAAAATCATTTATTGTGACTAAATTTGCACAGCAGTAGTTAGACCAATCTTATTATACGGTGCCACCGTGTAAAGGCCGGCACTGGAGAAAATTACTTTCACTGGAGAAAATTACTTTCGGTCGGCAGCTAACCTCATAACAGGAGCACTGACCAAGCACCTTAAAAGCACTGCTAACTCTCCGCAACTTTCTTTCTTTGGAGCTATACGACAAATTACAAGTGAGCTGCCACACAAAAAAACACATTTGAATGCAACTCATCCTTGGAGGAAACACAAAAGCCTTCGATCAGGAAGCTATGGCCATCTGGAAAATTGGGTGTGGAGTCCACTCTCCGATGCTCTTAATATATATAAGCCTGAGACTACCACTGAACTCTTTGCAATATTAGAAGCCATCGCTGCTCAAATCTACGGTAGGTTGACAGCCACTTACGATATATTCCGACATTCAAGGTGCCATCAGTTCTCTACAGTGTAACAATACCACCTAAAAAGTGGCTACGAAATATAGAAGCAATCTGATTAAACTTCTGATTAAATGCAACTTAACCGTGATCTGAGCACCTCCTGAATTGCTCAAAGTTACCTAGTCTCTAGGCAGGAAACAGCATAAACCGAAATGATTTTCCCATTCCACTCTTTTTTAAACCACCGTGAATAAAATACACACAGATCACTTTCTCTTCTGAGGTCAGATATTTCAACTTCCAGAAAATGTCTCAGAGCTCACCTTGAAGTACATCTCCGTAATGCTTGAGCTGAGTGTACCTTCACAATGACCAAACGAATGCAGGCCAAACAATTGCTAAGGTTGTGAGTGATGCAGAGTTTCATCACCTTCTATGAACGCTCTGCGCTCAGCCAATTCAACTTTACCTAGCTTGTCGAGATAATATCCCAAGGATGGAGGCTTCGTCGATATGCCTACAAAAATACTAAGGTTCCTTTTGCTTAATGCAACTAAAACCACTACCACTGTAGACCACTATCTACAACCCATCTACAACGACGGCGGTGTTGATCCATGGTTCACTACCTTAAGCAGCATTTAAAGGCGCTGATAGGTCTGAGGTAGTCAATGATGACTGCCTCGCTTGCGCACCAAAACCGAAAGTAACTGTACCCAATATTCGGTGGCCTTATAGAAGTCATCGTCATATTCCCAGTATCTGAACTATTGAGTTCCAAGTAGGACATTCGCATAGGGTACTTTGGAAAAGCTTGTCCCTTACGAAGGTCTGGCTCTGCACAACAAGCATTGAATGACAGCTAAGCTAAAAACATAGGAAGGAACTGTAAAAGGGTCTTCAAAAAAAAAGCTAAACACGGTAATGCCTCAACCCCCCGTCAATAATTTGGACGATACAATAAACTCTGCTTCCGCTGAAAAAGTTTCACCAACTTTGAGAAGCTGTAAACTGTTCAAAGCAGACGGCTTCGATGGAATTTTTCATGCGTACATTCACTTGGCAAACACCATGAATAGGAGACAAGATACTAAGGCAATTTTTATTCGGCTGCCTGAGTAATCAGTGCTACACAAATGGTTAATAGTAGATGGTTTTATGATGAAAGGGAAACGTGGCCAGATCAATGGTCTTTGAATTATTTGCTGAAATGTAAAGAAGGAAAAGCATGTCGAGCACTATCTTTTCGATTTCTTAAGATCTTCATCAATACCGCCTTCGTTCTTCACTTCACAAGCAACGATGAATATAATTATACTGGGTGTCCGCGGTAGCCGAGTGGATAGCATTGTGTACTGTCAATAAAGCACCTCATTAAAAATCCATTAGCCGTTGGGGGACGTTGCAAAAACATCAAGGCACAAAACCGAAAATCGCTTAAGCGGTTACAAAGCGCCAAATTAAATATATAATTTATTCTCCCTAAAAATCGAGATTTTTATAATTGTTCTAACTTTTTTAGCCTAAAACCTATCTTTGGTAGCAGTTTCAATTAAGATGATTAAGCTGTGGTTTCTATTTTAAATGTTTAGGAAATTGAGTCTTTACCTAACGTACAAGGTAATCTCGAAAACAAGGTATAAAATTTACTCTGATACCTTTGAAACTTATTTAGTAATAAGACAGATTGGAAGACAGATTATATATTTATCATTGCAATGATGAGCAAACCATGTTGTGATAGTACTGACGGAAGATAGATATTATGAATTATTGAAATTAAATAAAATCTGAATACCTGAAAAGAGAAAATTTTCATAGAAAATATAAAACAATGTAAAGTAAAAAATTTCTATTCTCACTAATATTTAATTAAAAACTAAAAGAAAAACATTTTGCAATTCAAAGCAAAGTGAATACACACAGCAAATTAAAAATAAAAAGAAAAAGGAAACTAAACCTGCTACCGCAAGACTTAAATATACAGAAAATTTTCTAATAGGCTACATGGCAGCCGTGGCACGATAAATATGTATGTAAATATAAATAAAATATAGACAAACTTATAAATTCATATGTAGTTATATGGAAGGCATTATGAGCACATACGAGCATGTAGATGAAAAAAGTTGAGCACCATATGCTTCTTTATAAAGTACATACGTGTATTCGTACATTAATGCGGTGGGTAAAAATTTGCTGAGCAAAAACTTTGTATGCGCCCTACGCACTACTTGTTGACGCATAGTAATTTGGGAATCACCAAACTTTTCGTATATTGACATGCGTCGGCTAAGGAAAACAACGCGCGAGAGCATAACGAACAGTGTGAAATTTTCGTAAAACTCAGATGTTAATAAATTGTGATGGAAAATTAAAAAAAAAAATTAAAAAAATGAAAAACATGCGAGGTCTTCGGTATTTTCAAAGTCTCTGATATCTCAATGAGTGGGTTGTATGACGTCTCTATGGAAAAATCGGTGTATGGAAGCAGTATATTATAGTCGTCCAATTTCGATAATTCTCAGCACCAATATGTAATCATCATTCACGCTCTTAGATACTTCTTTGACACAAAATCGTCAATCTGAAAAATCGGTCAACTATATGCTACCGTGGACCGATCTGAAAATCATTCGCCTTAGACAGGAATAAATGGTAATCAAATTTAGAGTTTGACTATGATAGTGGATTTTTCAAATCTCTCCAATCGCATAACAAAACCTTCCTGTTATCAATCCTAGCTTCGAGACTGTTGTGTCGGTCACTGCGCTTCCACCACGACCATTTTTATTTGGCGTTGCTGTAAGTGATCCACTTTTCTTCAACAGTTACTATCCGCTTCAGAAACAGGTAAATTTTTTAGTATCGGCAGCGATTCGCAAATGGAAGTTCGGTACATCTTTAACTCATACCCGTACATCGAACTTCTATGTGTATCCAGCTTCTTTCAAGTAGATTCAAACTATTTTTCGTGCATTGGTTAGCTCATGGGCAATCAAAAAAATGCTCGCAGGACAATTAAACTCGGCGATTTCTTTTTTTTTTCTTTTACATCCAAATTACTGAAACGAAGTCGGCGAAACCCGAAATTGTTCATGATTGGTTCTTACAGTATCAGTACACCTTTTCAGCTGCCTGACCGGCTTGCGTTTTCACCTTTATCGAAGAAAAAATGTAGAATTTAGCGTAGGTTATCTTTGCTGGTACCCGTCTTTGACATAGATTCAAACACTACTGAGTTAAGCGATCAAAATTCATTGTTTGTTTTTAGAGCAGCGCACATTAATAATAAAAATTCCATAATTACGATAAATGTCGTTTAAGCCGATTAAATTTCGAAACACCTTTAAACTCAATTCAACCGCTAAATATATTGATATTTGAAAATCTAGTCAGTTAGTGATGTTAATAGGTTGCTCGATCACGAAACCCTGATCTCGTAATGATGCCTGATTGATTCTGAGAAGAAGACTCTCACTTTGCTCAAGCCACTTGGTGTATTGCTCGAAGTTCAGGAGATTAATTATGCCTAGAGATGCCAGCTCTACTAAGCAATCAAAGAAGAAATTTGCGAAAAATCAGCAAAGGACAGCACTGAGAGTTGGGCAGTAACAGAAAATGTGTTTAAAAAAGAGCTCATCCTGTGTCCGGTTAATACGCCGGCTCTTAAGCATTCTCTCATGTTTACGAGCGGAAAGAGTAAAAACTTAGTTCTGTTCACTTCTGGGGAAGACTTATCTTAATAATTACTTAGCCGAGGTATGCCTACAACGTGTATAGGGTTTACCGGGGTTATAATTGTTTCCTATTATCCGGGGGGTGTCCAAGCCACGGACGTTTTGCATATAGTCATTATAATCTTAGTTTCAAAAAAAAATCAAACCTTGCGAAACGATTAAGGAAAAAAAAATATTTCTTTATATTATACATTATAATAATTTTTTAAATAACTTTTGTTAACGGTAACATTTTTACAATTTTACTTACTTTTGTTGTTCGGCTGTCAATTCGTCCCTTTTGATTGAAATTAATCTCTGCAGATTCTCTTGTTCTGCCAATGCAATACGCTGTCGTTCCTCATACAATTGACGCAGCTGCCGTATATTGCCCAATTGACGTTCGTATTCTTGTCTCAAATTGCTCGACATAATTTTCAATTCACGTTCACCAAATGCCGTTTCAATTTCATCTAATTTACTTTTAAGCTAAAACAATAAAACAAAACAAAACAACGGCCATTAAAGCTTAGAAGGTTAATTGTGTGGTTATACATATAGCAGTAAATAAATATTTACATATATTTTTGAAAGCAACAAAAGTGAAGATCTTGGTTGAGTATACATATATACATATTTCATATTTTCTGAATATTGCTAATTTAAAAAAATTGTTCCTAATCTATCTGGACATGTGGTTTTCACAAACTTTTTTAGGAGTTGGTCTTTCTGACAGCTGCAATCTGTATTATACCCAGTTTGGTTTGCTGTTTCATAATGAACAGACGTACTCCGGAACAAAGTTTACAAATCGTCCAAATTTATTAGCAAAACAATGATTCAGCTAGCGCGACATCATCTTAAGATACTCTAGTGGATAATACGCATACTCAGGGACGCCGTACAGTGCGCTATTGCTGCATAGTATCGACGAAGGCTCGAATAAGTCCATACTCCATCGCTCACAATAATGGGAGCTGTGTCCATCTACTTTATGGAGGATTTTGCGGAAGGAAGCAACACGTGCCATAATTGAAGCCGAAAGACCCAATAGATTACGCTACATGTCATACAGCTGACGAAACAATAAATTTATTGAAGGACATTTTTAATGAGCGCTTTAACTGCTCCGTAAATCTGTGTTTTGGCCTCCAAGATCGTGTAAACCCGAGACGATTGACGACTTGGAAGCGCATATTTGGCGCATTATTGCTGACATACGGTCCCGATTTCTGCAAAAAGTGGTCGATCTCAAGCCAGCCGCGGTGGTTCTTTACCCGAAATCATATTCAAAATATAATGGCGGTTCCTTATCCTTGTGAAATAGCTAAATTATTGGTCATGACATCAAAGATGTCTAACTGTAAGATTACGAAGCAGCCTTGGCCCAAATATATATATATAGCTCTTGTCATGGCAAGGCTGCTTCGTAATCTTATATATATATATATATATATATATGTATGTAGGTGTTCTTTATCTATTTATTTTTCAAACAATTACTTTTTTTACTGTCGGAAATATATTCGGAGGGTTCGAAATTGTCTGCCGCAGAGCAACCACAATAATTAAAAATTATTTTTTATGTATTTGAATTTTGGTCGGATCAGAACTCAAACCATGGTATTCCGAATGGTAGTACGTAACCACAAACCACTCGACTATTACAGGCTAAGATGAAAGAACACATAGACTTACTGACACACTAACTGAGCATTGGCCCTTGAAGAACATACTCTTAAAATTGGTTTGCACTACCACAGGCTGGAGGGGAATAAGGAAACAGTTTTCCACTTTATCTGTGAATGTCCAGCTCTTTCACAACCTCTTCATAGAAGACTTGGTTTCCATCAGGTGCGAATCCATGGCTGCGCACAAAAAGCGTAAGCAATATACATAAGTAATTTTATTGAGGGCTTCATTGAGGAAAGATATGAAACGAAAGCAAAGCTAAAACGTGATAGCAAGAATATAAGAGTCTTACTACATAGTAACCATAGTATCAAAATGGCATATCCATCGCTCATTGGGACTGAGACTGAAATTTCTCGGGCAGCACCCCCACCTACCTACCCACCTACCTTTTTTTGGAAAATTATTATTTTTATTATTTTGTCCTCCCCAAATTTGCCGTAATATTGCAAAAGTAAGAAGCCTTGGCTTTGACTTTCTTAAAAGCTTCTGGAAGCCCTAAATTTCTTTCCCATTGTAAAAAGTAGAAAAACATTATTTTTGCCAAAGGGTGGCTTTGAAGATATGTATATTGCGTTAGAGAGATGATATTTTGTACTAAGAAAGAGAGCGGGAGAAAGGATCATCAGTTAACTCAGTAGTGCTTGAGCGCAAGTCATAAATTGGCCACCAGCAAAGAGGAAATACGCTATATTTTAGAATTTTTCTTCGATAAAAGCGAAAACGAAAACCAGACACCTGAAAATGTGAATACATAGTGTTTTAGGTCCTGATACTGCAGCAGTCGTAATGCACAATTTCGATTTCGTCGAACTCATTCCGGTAATTTTTAATGAAAAGATGCTCCACAATGTGAAAGAATAATTGACGAAACCGTCATGTGAGCACTGTTTTGATTGCTCAAGAGTTAAATATTGGGACCCACTTGAACAAGGCTGGATACACAAAGAAGCTCGGTGCAAGGCTGTCACATGAATTAACGAGAAAAAAATCTCATGAACTGAATTTCCATCTGTGAACCGCTCCTGAAACGTAACAAAACCGATAATTTTTTGAAGGATACGTATTCTATTGATCAAAAGGGGTTCACTTACAGCAACGTGGAATAAAAACGGTCGTTGTAGAAGAAATGTTCTGTTGTGTGTTTGGTAGGGTTGGCAAGGAATCATCCACTATGCTAGCTGCTCCCCTACGGCCAAATACTTCATTTGGGCCTGTACCGTCAGTAATTGGTTCAACTGAAGGACTCAAATTATATATTTATCGTTGTTTTCGAGTTTCATTTATTTTACAGGTTTCTCGGATATTTACAAACGCTTTTAATGTGGAAAAATTTGACGGCAAATCAGAAAACGATTCCATAATTTAGAATTTTTATTTATAATTTTTACTAATTTCAGAGGTTTGCAAATTGTGATCTGCCGTTTCTTTGATTTCTCGATTCGGGTAACAATGATACAAATATTTTCATTAATACATACATACATCATTCAAATTTTACTTAGGCAATTTGCCCTTTCTCGCCGGTATTTTTTTTTTTTTTTTTTTTTGACAAAAACGTGATTGTTCGTACCCAGCGGGAAGAAATGAGCACATGTTCCAGATAATGTATTTAGCATTCTTTAAATGAAAACATAATTATTTACAAAAGCTAAAAACACAATTAGTAGCTCAACTGACACAATGGCAAGATACTGCATGTATGGCACTCTCAAATTCATTGACAAGGTCATTGTACAAAAGTCGCATGCAATTTTCTCAAAACAAATTTTGATTGCATGGCGTTATGATGAGTGAGCTTTTGACCGTTTAATGAGTTATTTCATATTTTCCACTTATTTAAATATTATTGAAATAGTTAAATTTTTGCTTTGTCGTCATATCAATGGTATTTGAAAATAACTGTAATTATTTATTTTATTTTACACACAAACAATATAAATTGTTAAACGCTTGTTAATAACGCATGGGAATGTTAAAGAGCTATTTTCTTTTGCTTTTTAATTTTTATGGCATTTATTTGAATTTATACTTATCAGGAATTTTCCATTGAAATAAATGTAGCGACACCGTTAATACACATGATAACGTGTATATTTTAATTACAAATATTTCCCTTACATATTTAAATAAATATAAAATATGTAATGAAATTCTTTTCGAAATTTATGTATGTACATACATACATTAAAAATAGTTTACAGCAAATCACAATACAACAAAGGTTTTTCAAATGGAATTTTAAAATGAATAAATTCCGAATCCGATGAGATCAACAACATTCTGATCGATGAGAAACACATCCATCGATTGAGCGAGTTTGATTTCTATATAAAAAATAGAGAGAGAGAGAGAGTGAATAAGAAAAGAAAACGTCCTTTATCACTGTAATCGAAATTTAAGCCAGAATACAAGATTACGCCAATGAGATCCAAAGAGAGCAAAATCAAATGATGTCGGATACAAAAATGCATCAAAAATTAACTACAATTATTTTTTGTAGCAAAAAAATATATAAATTATTATTTTTTAAAGTAATCATATTTACGTTCCCAATTCACTGAGCATCGACGTTTAGCGTCATCTTCATAAGCGTAATCTCTATATTCTCTTAATTATATGTATTTCTCACTCTTGCATATACATACATGCATATATATCACATGTATAAGCATATATAAATTTATGAAGAAATTGTTTGAGCTCTTTTCATACAAATTTATTTCCAACATACAAAGCTCCACAAAAAAAGCATCGATCACTTAACGACCTTAGATGCAGCTTCGTGGCAGTTATCTTCGCATTTTTTTGCTGGTCCTGCAAAAGAAAGGAAGTATGTAAGAATTTTAAGTACCAAACTGTATAACAGCCACGAACATTCATAAAAAGATTTGTTAGAACTTACTCAGGAATTTGAGAATTTACAATTAAAAACAAAATATTAAAATTTCTTCAAAAAAAAACAGGAAACTTACCGCCAAAAAAAGGCAAAAGCATCATTTCAATTGAATTGTCTCTATTTTCTTCTCATAATATTGGGAGTTTTTTAATTACTTTAATCCAAGGCTTATTTAAGAAGGTAAAATAACTACGGTAGCCAATTCGAGCTTTTTCATTCATAAAACGTTGTGATTGTCGAAATTAATTTTCATTTCATATTTTGTTTGCTGAATTTTATAGAATTATCCGTTTGTAGGCGTGCAAATTTTGACAATTGTGGTTTGTGCGAAAAAAGAGCAGAACAGAGGGTTTGTGAGCTTTTTAAGGTCAATTAATTCTCATTGATTTTGACAGTCGCTAGGCTAAAGCAAAGAAAAAATACAAGGTAATTGTTTGTATTTGTTCTCCTGCTCTCACCTTTATGAATTCCCCTTGAAAGTTTTGTTCAAATGTTAATGAAAGGATATAAATTAAGGTGGGGAAAAAGATTTAGTTACACTTTCATAGAATTTTCACGATCTGGAACTTTTGTACAAAAAAATCGTTCGGAAACTCTAACAAATTTACCTAAAGCTTTTAACTTAATCACTGTTTCACTATAAAATTGAATGTTTTAGCTTTCCAATGACATCAAAGTGAAAGAAGAAAAATTAAAATTTAATTCTGGTCTGCTAAAATGACCAGTATCATGCTGACAACGGAAAAAAAACGTCTATAAATCGCGGAAGAATTCAACAATACAAACATTCCCACGTTAATCTCAGCTATCGTCCGCATTTGGGATACACCCATGTCAGGTATTAGAGGACCGTGTGCGAAAGTGAAGCTGTTTGAATAATTTTCACAATTACTTGTGGTACTCCACAGGGGTCATCCAGTCCAGCTGCTTCCATGGAATAGCGAAAAGATAATTTGGTACGCGCGGGATTTTGTTAGTCTAATTAAATTTCACAATTGTTTATCGGGGGTAATTGAATGTACACGCAGCATATCGGGTCAATAGAAATTGAAATCTGCCTCTTCAAGAGGAAGGCAAAAATTCACCGATTTAATCCGCCATCCTTAGTTAGAAATGACACACTAAAGAAGATGCGTAGTTTGAAGACTTTGCAACATGTGCTATGAAAACTACCTAAAAACAGGCTCTCGACTAACTCTCGCTAACTAAACTTAATTGACAACTAAAAACTGTCCTCCTAACCCATAACTGTGAAAGTAATATCAGCATACAGAAAATTATTAAAAAGCAAACAAGTTAAACGTACAATTGGATCCGGAAAATGAAACCCTTTGGGAGTCACTTTTTTCTTCTTTAGCAAAGAAGAACGGGCAAAGGATAAAACCATCGGCAATAGTGAAGATAGAAATATCTATACGGCTGGCTCTAAATGCTAAACTAAGCACATATAAATAAATAAACCATCCCGCCATGGTCTGTTAAAAATACAGTGAATATCACTTGCGTCCCAGGTAACGCAGATGTAAAAGGTTATACAAAGGCTGGCGTCACTGTTGAACTTTCAACCTCTTCTAATGTTGTCTAAAGTACAGGGTGCGCCATCTATACGTGGTCAATAGAAACATTGAATAACTTTGACAGATTTCAGCCGATTGCGTTTAGTAAAAGCTTTTTGCAAAAGTTATTCCAACTTTGAGTTCAGCTTTCTCCAGACTGGTTAAGAAAGCGAAGGATATGGAGCTGGTAATGAACGAGGGCAAAACGAAATATCTCCTGTCATCACACAAACAGTCATCGCATTCACGACTCGGCTCCCACGTCACTGTTAACAGTCATCACTTTGAAGTCGTAGATAATTTCGTCTACATAGGAACCAGAATCAACAACAGTAATGTCAGCCTTGAAAGCCAGCGCAGAATCAATCTTACCAACAGGTGCTACTTTGGACTGAGTAGGTAGGCAATTGAGAAGTAAAATCCTCTTCCTACGAACGAAAAAAAAACTCTACAAATTCCTCATCGTTTCCGTCCTGCTATATGGTGCGGATGGATGCGATTACTCCAGCTCTGAAAGTTTGCGATGCAGTATACGCCGGTGGAAGCAGAAAAATACCAAGTAAAGAAGGACCTGGTTGTACTTAGTATTTCCAATTGACGCCAAAGAGCAAAAAAAAAAAAGAAACGTACGCGTATGCGGTGTCTATGCCAGTAAAGTAAGTAAGTATTCAACGCAACACAGCCCGGCCGTGCTTCACCTAAAGGTGGCATTATTCGTCACTTGGCTTCGAATTTCGAGACTCACGGGAGACTGACATAGAGGAGTCAACGATGAAATTTTTCCGGCAAAAGTTCCCAGGACGTGTGGTATCGAAAGAAGTGGATATCGACTGGCCACCAAGATCGCCCGAATTGACTGCACCAGACTTTTTTTTTTGAGCAGCTTTTTAAAGAGCGAAGTGTATGCCAACAAACCGAAGACTTTGAACGAGCTGAAGTACAACATTCGAGCTGAACTTGCTGCGATATGCTGGCAAATGTCGTGGTAAATGCCGAAAAAAGAACGAAGTTTTGCTTGCGCAATGGAGGAGGTCATTTGATCGACGTTGTTCTTCGAACCCAGCTGGAAAAAATTGTAATGCTGTAAATTCGATTATACAAATAAGTTTATTAAAATTTATTAAAAATTTTTCAAGTTATTCAACTTTTCCATTGGTCACATATAGTTGGGGCACCCTGTAATAGACCTGGTAAATCATGGAAGACCTATATTGGAAGGTGAATCTTCATACAAAAAAATCGAAAAAACCAAACAGATTTCATAACATCAGCTTTGAAAATAAATAATATATTTGTCAATTAAGTTCGAATCCCTTTTAATTTAATATGTACCAACCAAAAGTTTAAACTCACCTGCACACATTGCTCCTCCTTTACGTTAAGCATCTGCTTGCAACAAGCTATGACCTCCTTTAGTGTGCCAACTTGTTTTTGTACAACACCCAATTCAGTACGCAGTGATAAATTCTCCGCATTAGCCATTTGGAGCGCTAGTTGTGCATTAGCTAATTCAATATTAGCATGACGTCCACGACTTTGCGGATCCTCATCATCAGAGTCGGGTCCAGCAGCAGTGGTGCCACCGCCTATAGCACCCTCTTCATCCAACGCCACAGTCGTTGCGTCGACCGTATCCGCGCTGGACAGCTCAACACAATCATTTCGACGCAAACGACGCGTTAGCTCCTGCTCTTCAGCCAATTGTCTACGCAACGTAGAAATCTCATCGCGTAAGTCTTGTACAGCCGTCTGGCGAGCCAGTCTCTTAATGCGCAATTCCTCTTTAAATTCTTCGAGCGTTTGTTCGCGTACAACTGCATTAGATGGTGCGGGTGCAACATCACGTGATTCGAGTAAGCGGCAACTTGCGTCGTTATTTTCCACCTCTACATCGCTTGCCTGTGGCGTTTTTTCGCCCAACAGCTCGCTACGGTGTGCAATCACATCGTTGCTTTCGGCAGCAATCGCATTAGCTGGCTTGCATTCACCGTTACTATTTGTATTGTTCGCCAACAAAGACACATCAGCATTTTCGTCGTCTGCCTTTGGCAATGAGGCGAGAGGCGAAGTTAATTCATTGTTGGCGCTGTAGTTGTTGTCATTGTTGCTGCTGATATTTTCACTTTCACTATTCGCTGCGTCAACATTTGGCACGAGGTCTAAAATCAAATCACCATTCTCCACCTCCCACCACCAGGCATCTTCTTCGTGTGCCTGAGGTTGTTGTTGCTGTACCGCAGCTACTGCGGATTGATTGACGAATGTTGTAGTGGCATTATGTTGTTCTTGTTGGGTCTCTAGTTGTTGGTGATGTTGTTGTTGTTGTTGTGTGGGCTGTTCTCTTTGTTCATCCATCTCATGCAGTGGAGGTGGCTAAAGACTGTGGTATTTTTTAAATACAACGTAGACGTATGTACTTGTATATGTGGATGTGTTGAGGTATGTCTTGTAGTATATATGTATGTAAGTAGCCTGCGGCTGTATAAGCGGTTGCGACCGGCTTTTAAAACACAATTTCGTTTGTTAAGACGTGCGACTTCCTACAGCACAATGTTTCGTCTGATAGGGGACCAAGACAAGAATTTTCGTTTTTCGTTACCAAATGTTGAACCGAATATCCCGTGCGATTGGCCTCGGTAATGTGTTACCAACAAATTAATTATGCTCGCATGTAACTGCGAACTTTACCGTGTACGTCTTTGTCTTTCGTGTATCTTCAACTACGTTTTATTATATACTCGTACATATAGTATATTTGTATGTATTTTTCGTATAAAAGTCTCTTTAAAATAACACCACTCACGTACGGTATGAAGAAATAATTATTTCAATATACACCTATGTATACATATATGTATGTTTGTATATAATGTGAGCTGAATCTTCACAACTTTTGCCAATTTACGGTTTCACAATCACTTTAGCTTATTTTTTACTTCTTTATGCATATACATATAATACATATATATTTATAATTCAAGTTCATATGTATTCAAATATATAATAATTATGTATATGTATATACTTTGTATATATGTATGTATTACTTATTAAAAGATTCTTCGTGTTTTATTTATTTCTTATTTCTACTTTAATTTTGTAAGGAAAAAACACCTAATTTTTTTCGTAATTGCAAACTTTTCCCCGATTTCCACTGTTTTTTAAGTTTATATTAATGATTTTGCAATATTTTTCATAAAATTTCCATTACTGAAACGTGTGAGTTAAAATGTGAAAATTTTTATATCTCGATGCAACTTATCGGCAGCAGTTCTCTTGAAAAACTGACAGCGCGTGCTATTTTTAAAAAATATACATACTCGTGTACTAGAATGAAAATTTGATGCTTTTCACTGCGAATGTGTACGATCTTGGCGAGAAAAGAAAATTCATATGATTTGGTTTGTTGTTTTCATGTTTTTCTTTTTTTTTTTGTTTGCTTTTTACTTTTTCAGCTTCTGTTTCTCTTTAATTTCACGTGAAAGCTTTCAACACTTTGTTTGGTTCTTATGTTTTTTTTGTTGGTTTTGACTCAAATTTTTGTGTTTTCTCGAATTAAGAAAATATAGAGTTTTTGGTGCAAATCAGATGATTTTAGTGTTGTCAAAACACAGCACACGCCGAATAGTTTTAGGTAAACAAATTTCTATTGAATTTTTAGTTCATAGAAGATCTCCAGTTAATGCTAAGAGTAAAAAGGATTTTTTATCTTTTTTCTTCGAAATCTTCGAAATTACGTGTTCTCGTCACTCATGGGCTTTTTTGAATCAAACCTTGATGCAGAGTCCCCCTCAAAGAAATTTACTGGAAGGCCGAAGGAAGCTTTAAGCTCACGATGAACTCAAGCTTCGTCTCCAGTAACATTTCGACTTAATACACCGTCCTTCTCTCCATTGCAGAAGTCTAAAAATGGGCTTAAAATACTTTTTTTTCGGCACTCATCTTGCGCTGACGATAGTCGTACATCTTCGAGAACAATTTTTTCGATCGAGCCCTCCTCCAATTATTAAGATATGAAATGATAAAAAATTGTCGGTAAATTCATTTTAACTTTTTTTTTGACTAATATCAAACTTTATCGAACGCATGATCATGTAATATTGATTATCAGTCATCTTTCAACTCAAACATCTTCATAGCGCGTTTTCAACAGTGAATACCGCAACCTATGGAACGATGAGCTCAGCCCAAGAGGCAGCGACTACGCTGGCTAGGCCAAATGGTCCGGATGGATAAATATTGTTGAAAGCATTCGATACAGTACCCGCGTATAGAAGCAGAGGACTGGTATTTTTAGAGTTAACCTCAGTAATTGAAAGAAATATTTGACAGCTTTTTTTGGGTTATAGAGTTTATATATTCAATGTTCGTTCTAAGTCCTTTATCTCAGATGAGGTTGGACCTTGCTGGGAAACAATCCTCAAGGTAAAGTCAGACATTCACAAAAGCTGTTGAGCGTTTCTCAAGTCTGGCGTACTTAAGCCACCATGTTTAATAACTATTGTTTCTGGTTGTCAAACTGGCGAAGAAAAGTTTGAACAAATTTCAGGAGCACCAGGGCTCATACATATGTGCAAGAAGAATACGAAGTGTGTTCAAAAAATAAAAAGAATTTTTCAATCTCGCGGCCTTGGAGAATGTGACTGTCAGGCATTATTTCAACACCCGATGAAAACATTTTCATAAAAAATTTAAAGAAATTCGTTATGTAAGATCACCGAATCAGAATTTGAAAGGTCGCTGATGATGTTAGCGTCTCCATTGGAGTATGTAATGAAATATGTTCACTATGTTCTTCGATTTTAACGGATATTGAAATATATTTTGACGAAATATAGTTCACGGACGATTTTGCGCCTGCTCATATTGCTTGTTTGGGACTTTTCGAACCATTTCCCCAAGCATGGCTCATGTGATTTCTGCCTAAACGTAAAAATATAGAGAAAGGCCTTCGTTGTGCAGAAGTAGGTGAGATAAATCCTATTGCTAAAATATAGGTTGTCTCAAAGATCGAGTTTGGGAATTGGAAGAAGTGCTGGCGCAAATGCATAATCTCCAATAGCGACTATTACGCAGGCGTCAATATTAATGGGGACGATTAAATACATATTTTGTTCAAGCAATGAATATTCTCGTTATTTTTCAACAGACCTCGTATTAGTACTTGATTTTCTCCCTTGTGAATACGTTATGATGTATGTACAGATGTATATGCTGTAGACAGGAAAAATATATAACAAACTCAAAGAAGGCGACACGAATAACATTTTGCAGCCATGAACCTGAGTAAATGCATCGGTATGCCGACAACATGCGGAACATCATTATCCATCTTGGGATGAAATAAGAATAAGTAAGGATGACCTAAACTCGGCTGGGACGGTATAATATATACACATATATCTGTTTAAATCCTTTCGATTTCAACGATTTTGGTTGGTTATGATGATCATCATGATGATGATGATAACATAATATTATCTGCATCTGATGTTCAAAAAATTAGAATAATTCGGCCGCAATAGCCGAGTAGTTAGCACTGCGTATTGCCATTTGGAAAGCAGGGGCCTTTGTAATGTATTTCTAGCATAAAATAAAAGCGCCGATCGGAGGAGGTTTAGAGTAAACTGTATGGCCATCGATTTGTTGAAAAAACATGAAGACGCATACCACAAATTAAAGTAGGAGCTCGATTTCTAGTACACAACATACCAGAAGTGAGAAATATGCCGGTAAATATTTTGCAGACACGACCGTTAAAATTACACCAGAAGCAAATCGGACTGCAATCCATCGTATTTATATTACGCAAAACAATGAACTCTGGCTGTGCCAACAGCTGTTGAGTATTTGGCCATTGTTTTCTTCTCTTAATTAGCAATTATTGCAGATGTACATATATATGTATGTATGTATATTCAAACAAGAAATATATGTGTTGCAATTTTGCTTTATAAGTATTGTAGTACAACTATGCCTTATTTCGATGGATATTTTGATTGATATATATATATAGTACATATATTTCAGGCATAAAGTCAGGTGAGACCTTATAATTTGAAACTCATTTATTTGATCTAGAAGATAATGAGAAGTGATAATGCACCGAGTTTTTCCCTTCACATCCCAAATGAAAATAGAATTATATTTTGAATTTGATAGCATTAGGGTGCGTTGGTACGTTAAAATTGGTAAGGGATTTAGACCAAAGCATCCTTCGTAAAATATTCGTACCGAAGGTGGGTTAAATTTTCGATTTAAGCTAACCATTTTATTGGTGCACTTCTTTTGAGAAGGTGGTATTTTGATATTCTGAGAAAGTTTTCCTTCAAAAGATCGATGGTTTCGTGGCTTATGCAGCACGTAGCGCCGTCTTGTTGAAAGTAAACGTTGTCCAGATCAATTCCATGCGATTCCGGCCATAAAAAATCACTAATCATATCTCGACAGTGCAATCCCTTCATCGTAACTGTTGCTCCAGCCTCTTTTTCAAAAAAGAAAGGAAAGGTCTGATGCCACCTCCATACCATAAACCGCACTAAACAGCTACTCGTTGAGACTGGACAGGCTTTTCAACAATAAAGCTTGAGTTTTCCAGATGTTACAGTTTTGCCAGCGGAGTAGAAATGGGTCTCATCAGTCAAGATGAATTTTTGATGCGATGTTGAAACGTGTGTCGTTCCATCTTTAGTACCGTTGTAGTTTTTACTTGTTTAATGTCAAAAAATTAGCTATTCTAATAACAGCTCTTATTTGAAAACCGTTTATATCCATACATATATCCTTCAAGTTTGTTATATTCGAACTATCAGCTCTTAAGAAATATTTATTTTTAGTGTGCCGAGTGGTCAGATTAGTCTAGATTTTTCATAAGACTATTTGTTGGGAACTGCAGTAGCAAGCATCCAAAATTGTAGGATTCATTTGTCAAGAAGGGTATTGCTCGAAAATTCTACTTAACGGTTCAATGTCTTTCAAAAGGTTTATACAGAAAAACTTCGACTATCAATTGAGCTCCTGATTCATGAACAGCTCCTTTGCATAATATGATCGGCCGAAAGCATGCACAACGATTAGAACCTAAGTATGCTCCATAAGCTTCTATCGACCGTATTGTGTGTAAGACTAAAACTTACCTTCAACAAGCTAATTGGATCATCTCATTGTGGCTTTAGTACTGGGAAATCTACAATTGACCAGATATTAACACTGCGGCTAATCTAGGAAAAGATCTGTAAAAAGAGGATCTACACACACCACCTCATCGATCTCTGAATAGAGAAGGTACAATGTTCGATAAGAAATGGCTTATACCGATGGTATTGATGTCATTGTGGTTAACAACCCGACCGTATATTCTGCTTTCTTTTCACTGGATAAGGATACGAAGCGATTAGGTCTGGTAATTCGGCTGAAAGGTCGCTTCAGCGGCTCCAAACCGCGAATTGTGTGAGGCGCGATTACTTACTGTTAGATTCTGAAGTGTCACGGAATTTCAACTGAAATTCCTCAGAGGTTTGACGCTTAGCGAGAATTTCCCTTGGGTTTTTTCAGTTGCTCATTTAAAAAAATACCTTATTTTACTACAACTGCGATTGGATTACGCAAGGTGTCGATAGAAAAATAATGGACGAAGTGTTCATGACTCAACTCAATAGTTTTTGAGCGCATATGAAATATGGATGCAAGCAAAGGGAAAATGCGCTACATTTTAAAAATTTTCTCCGTTAACGGTAATATAAATCATCGCGTGGGACCGTCATGCGATTCGCAACAAAATCAACCCACATGTGAAGGGGATTGTAACTGGTGATGAAAAGTGGATCACTTGCAGCAACGACAAGAGAAAACGGCCGTTGTCGGCACAAACGGTCTCCGATCCAAGATTGACGATCAGAAAGATTTTGTTGTGTGTTTGGTTGGTTTGGCAATAAATCATTCACTATGAGGTACTCATATGCTACAACTTTTAATTCGAGCCTGTACTGAAAGAAGCAATCGTCTAGACCGCACTCAGCTTTAGCCAGCGGGAGGGAATTGTGTTTTATCAGGGCCCGACCACACACATCGATAGTGACTTACCAGAAGCTTCGAGAGGTTTGGTAGAAAGTTCTTATGCATCCGCCTTACAGTCCGGACCGCATTACTATCTGCTCCCGTCTACGGCGAATAATTTGAATGATGAAGAGTTGGCCTCAACATTAGCCTGTGAAAATCGATTTCCCATTTTTTGCCAATAGGAATAATTACTTAATTTGTAATTGTTATTTGTAATGTTATTTAATTGTATATTAGTCAGCTGTTTCAAAAGTCAACAAATGACTTAGCAAAATTAACAATCTATACACCCTAAACAACAAAATTTGTGATGCAGCAAAAACAATTGACGATTGCCAAAATATTTTGTTGACATGCTATGTATGTGTACACTGTAAATGTTTATAAATTACAAATATTTAAGTGTAATGCACAATAAAGTGTGTAGAAATGTGTTCCACTTCATAAGAAGTGCTATATGCATGTGTATGTGGAACCCTTCAAATGATTCACAAATGCAATCTAAAATGTTCTTTGTTCTGATGCAAACTTGATGTGCCCAAATGGTAATAGTTCTCCTATCAATCACATTACTCAGGAGCTCTTCTGCTTCTTCAGCGAATATGTTGTATTTTTTAAATTTACAAATAAATAATATACAAACGTGTCATAGAAATTTTTAATTATACATACATATGTATAGTCTTTACGCCATTTCAAAAATAGCCAAATCGTCATCATCGCACAAATAAGAGCAGCGATTCTGTCTTTTAAACATTTCACGAACTTTTGTTGTTACCTGTGGATGCACATTCTAACAATGTCATCATATATCATTTTTACTACAATATTTTACTCAACACCTGCGCGTTGAGGTAAATTAAATGACAATTAAATGTTTAATTTAATTAAAATTTTTAAATCTCTTAGTAGACAAATTAACTACGAAATGTCTGAAAAAGACCCAGAGATATTTTGTGCAAAGTTTTTAAACTTCAAGCATAAAAATAATCCATGTGGAACGTTTCACCTAGCCTAACCTCTTCAGATCCCATGTTAATGAAGGGTTCCTTCATTGTAATACAAAGTGGAAAAACCCCTTTTTTTACTGTTATTTTGTATTAAAATGTTGATATAATAAATAATACAATAAATTTCGGAAGCATTCGCCGTGGCAGACGATATTTTCTCTTGCCCTTATTAACAACCAGACCCATTCGTTTCTTTTCATTGTCCAGTCTGGAGTCAACAAAACCAATGGCGCGGTTGATGAGACCGATGATGTTCACATTGCCGACACACACTAGCAGCTGTAAGCAATTGTAGAGTTCTGTACTTTCTCTATTCAGTTCCGCAGCTCGAACTGTTTTCTCAAACACGAAAGCTACTTCCTGGTTGAGGTTGAATTTCGAGGTCAAACTTGCAAACTCCGTAAGATTAAACATGGGATTCCCCAAGGTGGTATGCTTTTCCCGCTTCTGTTAAATTTCACATATCGCAACACCCTCTACCACCAGAGAGTGTTTCATCACCTCACAAGCCGATGACTGCTCGATAAATAAGTATGGCCACAATATTGGTAATTTATGCCCGAAAGTACAATTCGCCGACCTTTCCAATTTCTTCATTGAGCGCCAACTACTGCTACAGAACGAAGCAGTACCAACTTGAACTCGATGCGGTAGTCGATGGCGTTAAATTCTTCAACGGAAAACACAAAGTAACTTGGATTCACATTGAACAGTATGCACTCCTTTACTCCGCATACAACTGCAATTGCTACAAGAGTACAGAGGCGCAATCGACGTTAGCCGGCAGCGCCTACGGAAAGGACGAAAAACATTGCTCGCAACATACAAGGCAATTGGCCGGCCGGTCGTAAATTACGCTGCTCTGATTTGACGGCATGGACAAGTGAGAGGCTCATGAAGAAGCCACAAACATGTGGTGAGAACAGCATGTTAGAATCATGACAGGAAACCCCTGATGTCAAGAGCATCCCAACAGGCAATTACCTGTAGCTGAGACACAACGTAGGCACATCAGGAGTGGACTACAGACTCCATTTAACACCATAGACAAGAACCACTAGACCGACTTCAAACGCCATTCCTCTAGACTCCATCAAGATCTTCTTGAACTCTCATTACTCTTTTCCCTATTCAAATGCGTCTTGCTGTTGACTTGAGCCCTCGTTATCTCGGTTGATCACGCCGTAGGAGATTTCTCATGTTAAGAGCCGTTATATCGAAAAGTTTCCCTTCCCCACCAAGCCGTAAAAAAAGGACAAAGTTCCAGAAATCAAAGTTCCTAAATCTGTCTTGAATTATTCTGGTTGTTGAAGTTCAGTGCACTTTGTAGTTAATATGTATATATAAACAATGTATATATCGATATAGCCATGTTAATCAGTTGGCATTTGGACTGATGTTTCTTTGTCTGCCACAAAGAGAATTGCGCACCAATGCTTAAGCAAACTAATGTAAATTTGTTTGTGTATAATACTTCCAAATATGTATGTATGTGCTCGTGCATAATATTAATAATATAATTCGCGCTTTGTTAGCGATTTTCGGAAGCCCCTCTTCCCCAATCTTCGGTTTGGTCTTTTGGTGCGTCATGATGTATCTTAAACAAATGGATGAGCCTACACTTAATTCTAAGCCGCCTCCGAGCGGCTGACATATTCTCATTACTTGACTTTTATTTCATGTCAGAAATACACACTGACTGTTTTTTTTCTATTATTTTCGACACTGGTCCACGTGCCGCCAACCATTCGGCTACTTGATTGGTTCAAAAAAAGGGAGGTTAAAGACCGGACTGGCAGCGGCCGCATCTAAGTCATTGAGAGGACTCATTGTGTTGCCCTGTGTATCCCAAAAATCGCTCGACTTAACGAATTATTTTATTTTCTTTCAACTATGCACGCCCGTCTCCGGTTGGTTATAGTTTTAAAAATCGTGAAAGGCATTTCGATGGTGACACCAGAAACCTGATTGGTTTACTTGGAAAACTGCTTGGGAAACAGGGTCGTAGTCATTGATCTCGAGAGTACTTTGGCTGTTGGTGTGCTCGCATAAGAAACCCTGCTCTTGCCTCTTACTTAAACCCATCAGTATAGATATCTATATCTTTACTGTTATCCATGGGCCCGCCTTAAATCCATTTTTCCCTAACCGCAAAAAGATTCGGTCTCAGTTTACATTCAGCTTAAGTTCTGATATAATTTTCTGAATGCTATCATGCCTTCCCAATTCGGGAACTAGACCCGATGGCACTGTTAATGTTGCCTTAGGCATTACTTGTATGTTAATTCACTTAATGTCATGAACAGCTCCTAGTGCCTTCGTTGAGATAGTTCCAATCCGTCCGATATACCAAAGGTTTAATGCGGCATTCATTGTTGTGAGTCTTACAATACTCGCACCTCTTCCTCCAATACATATTTTTAGATAGACCCCAATTTGGCGCAATTGCTCTTCTACAGGTGCACCAAATTTGGAGGAATTTACTGGCCCTACATTCGATATGTTTCCTTCAGCTAAGTTTTTAATCAAGGACTAGATCGATATACTTAACAAAAATGGAGTGGATTGTTGAATTGACAAAAATTCGTCTATCTCTAAACAGACAAGCTAACAAACTCTTAAAAAACAAAAATAAATTCAAAGGAAATATATGGCAACCATCTTACTAAATTAACCTTGATGATTTCCAAAATCTTTCGATTCGTTGATAAGCAACAAAATTTGGGTCTTCGTGTACTTTTATTCCTAAAAACGCTTTGCGAAATCATATGCATATGTAGTAAATTTTCTCGCATTTCATAATTTCATGAAATATACCGAAATCTAAATGAATCTGGGCGAATTAAGGACTCGAATTTATGAATTCATCTTATATTCAACTGCAAAATAAAAAAGCTACACCCTCTATGAATTCGCCGTTTTTCGGTACATTGCGTTACTCGTTACTCGGTAACGACTACCAGCTATTTGCTACAGCTCTAGTTTGATTGAATTGTGCAGGAGTGCATAGTTCGCTGTCACAACACGTGCAAACGAGCAATTGTTTTGACATTTCTTTGATAACAATTTCATTAAGTTCTTGGTAGTGTATAGTAATTTTTTAGTTATTCACCTGGCTTTTTTTATCAATAATAAATAAAAATGAAGTTATATCCAACTCTAACAAATAGTCGACCCGACTTTAAGAAGTTTCCAGAAAAACTAAACGATGTAAGTTATTTTTCGGATCGTCGTAACAGAATCTCACTATTACTCATTTTAGCATTTGAAAAATTTTGGGGCACCACATTTGGATTCCTTCAATGAAATGCTAACACATGGATTGGAAAATTGCGCAAAGCATATGATACCCGTTAGCTTTAAAACACCAGCCGGTGAACAAATAGAATTACGAATCGAAAGCATACAAATTTCACGACCACAAGTCCCTATGGCTGTAATAGATGTGAAGAATCGTTTGATATACCCAACAGAGTCTCGACAATTACATACCTCTTATATGGGTATGTGCAGTGCTCGAGTAGCATGGTCTGTTAGTGGGTTAGAAAAAGCGCCCATCGATGTTGATCTCGGTGAAGTGCCGATAATGCTAAAGTCAAACGCCTGCAATCTAGGTGCGCTTAAACCGGAAGAAATGGTTAAACATGGCGAGCATGATACTGAATGGGGCGGATATTTTGTTATAAAAGGAAATGAGAGAATCATACGTATGCTTCTTATGAGTAGACGCAACTATCCCATTGCTGTTAAGCGTTCTTCATGGAAAGATCGCGGTGTAAATTTTAGTGATATCGGTATTATGGTGCGTTCAGTGCGCGATGACGAAAGCTCATATAATAATGTGTTGCATTTTCTCAATAACGGAACAGCCAAGTTGATGTTTTCCCAAATGAAAATGATGTCTTATGTACCAATATGTCTAATATTGCGCTGTTTGGTCGACTACACCGATGAACAAATTTACCGCATTTTAGTGCGTGGTTATGAAAAAGACCAATATTTTGTATCTTCGGTGCAGACAATGTTAAGAGATGTACACGGTGAAGGATTGCATACACATAAAGATTGCAAATCATATTTGGGCAGAATCTTCCGTTCGAAATTCCCCGAAGTACCTGAATGGAAAACTGAAATAGATGTCACCGACTTTATTCTGAGCCAAAGAGTTCTTATACACCTGAGTACTCACAAAGAAAAGTTTGATATGCTAGTATTTATGGTACAAAAGTTGTTTCAGTGTGCACAGGGAAATTTTAAAATAGAAAATGTGGATTCCGTTATGATGCAAGAAGTTCTACTATCAGGTATAAATTGTTGAAAATAATTTTGAAAATTATCGCTCAATTTTATAATCTTAGGTCATTTATACCAAAAGTATTTGGCTGATCGAATTGAACTATGGTTACAGTACACTAAGAAATACCTACTCAGACGTCTAGAAGCTCCGGACGCTTTAATAACGCCAACTCTGCTCACAGCCAGCTTACGCAGTGCAGGAGGCGTTTCACATGCAATGGAATCATTCCTTGCCACTGGCAATGCACCTTCTCGTTCTGGTTTAGGTCTCATGCAGAATTCTGGTCTTGTGGTAATGGCTGAAAATATTAATCGTATGCGTTATATGTCTCATTTTCGAGCTGTACATCGTGGTTCGTACTTTACAACTATGCGTACTACAGAAGCACGTCAACTGCTACCAGATGCTTGGGGATATATTTGCCCTGTTCACACACCTGATGGCGCGCCTTGTGGTCTGCTCAACCATTTAACTGTATCCTGTCGTATATCGCGTATACCCAACAAGGAGCTTGTCAAGGTTTGTAAACATAATAAAATGTGTATGTTTTTATACCAAAAATTAAATATTTTCTATACAGGCGATACCGAAGAATCTAATAGAGATGGGCATGATACCATTAGAGTCAGAAATTTATGATTCGAACGCAAAATTGTTCGTTGTATTCCTCGAAGGCAAACTCTTGGGGCACATACGTCAAGTGGACGCTGAAAAAATTGTAAACAGTTTACGTACTTTAAAAATTGAGGGCCACTTACCCCAAATGATGGAAATTGCTTATATACCATATAAAGCAAAAGGACAATTTCCGGGCTTGTTCCTATTTGTCGGACCAGCACGTCTTATGCGTCCAGTAAAAAATTTGGCACTCGGAAAAGTTGAGTACATTGGTTCACTAGAGCAGGTGTACATGGATATAGCAATTGATTTGAAAGAATTTTATCCCGGCTTTACCACGCATATGGAATTGTCGAAGACTGAATTCCTTAGTAATTTAGCTAACTTAATTCCCATGCCAGACTACAATCAATCACCCAGGTATAATTTATCTAACTATTGTATTCCAAATTGCTGCCTACTAAATGCGAATTCTTTTTTTTACAGAAACATGTATCAATGTCAGATGGGTAAACAAACTATGGGCACTCCTTGTCTTAACTGGCCCAAACAAGCAGCTAACAAATTATATCGCTTACAAACTCCGGCAACACCACTTTTCCGGCCGGTACATCATGACAATGTGAGACTTGACGACTTTGCCATGGGTACTAACGCCATAGTGGCTGTGATTTCGTACACTGGCTACGATATGGAGGATGCCATGATAATAAATAAATCTGCACACGAGCGTGGATTTGCCTATGGTAGTATATATAAATCGAAATTTATCGAATTAGATGGCACAAGCTACTTTGCGCGTAGTCCACACCTGCCCGAACTAAATAAGTTGCTAGACAATGACGGCTTACCACATGCGGGCACAAAGTTATGGCATGGCTGCCCTTTCTACTGGTAATATATAATATATCTTCTTCATACCCACATTATATTAATAATTTTTAAAATTTAGTTACTTTGATGTTGACACCTCGACCTATAAAGTCGTCAAATTAGACGAAAAGGAAGATTGCGTTGTTGACAGCGTACGCTATTGTGGCAACTTCAAGGCAAATGCACGTCGTATGGTTTGCATAACACTTCGCATACCACGTCCGCCTACAATTGGAGACAAGTTCGCTTCTCGTGCTGGTCAAAAGGGTATCTGCTCACAACGTTATCCAGCCGAAGATTTACCCTTTAGTGAAACGGGTCTTATACCAGATATTGTTTTCAATCCTCACGGTTTCCCTTCACGTATGACAATCGCTATGATGATCGAAACAATGGCTGGCAAAAGTGCAGCCTTACATGGTCTTGTGCATGACGCAACACCATTCCGTTTTTCAGAGAAACACACTGCGATCGATTATTTCGGACGTCTACTAGAAGCGGGTGGTTATAATTACTATGGCACCGAACGTCTTTATTCCGGCGTAGATGGCCGTGAAATGTCTGCAGATATCTTCTTTGGCGTCGTACATTATCAGCGACTACGTCACATGGTGTTCGATAAATGGCAGGTACGATCCACTGGACCTGTCGATGCTATAACCCAACAACCCATTAAGGGTCGCAGACGTGGTGGTGGTGTACGTTTCGGAGAAATGGAACGTGATGCCTTAATTTCGCATGGTGCAGCATTTCTCCTACAAGATCGTCTCTTCCACAATTCTGATAAAACACATACGTTGGTGTGCAGCAAATGTGGTAGTATATTAGCGCCGCTAAAGAAAATTATCAAACGTACCGAGACTGGCAAGTTGCAGTCGATGCCGGACAATTGTCGTTTGTGTGGTGATGGCGCAGGCGTCGGATATATTGAAATACCATTTTCATTTAAATATTTAGTTACCGAGCTGAGTTCTGTTAACATAAATGCTAGGTTTAAGCTAATGAATATTTAAATGAGTTCTGTCTTATGTATCAACAAAGTGTATGTGCTTAGTAATGTACTGTAATAAATAATAACTCCTAATTTTATATAATAATTTTGATTTTTATCCCTTTCGAGGAATGTTATGAAATGTATGTTTAGGAAATCTAAAAAAAAAATGGTTTCCATAAATTTAGCGGTGCGAAATTTTACTTTTAGTTGATTGGTTGCTTCAAAAAAAATAATTTTATTGGTCTATACCCATATTGTTTCTAGTGGACCAGGAGTTATATTTTTATTTCTATGACAAATTTTTTCTACTTGCCGAGAATTTAATCATTTGCTTAGGTGAGTTTACTCATTCTCACGTGCGGATTTCCGGCTAACTTGTGAACCCTATAAATAATTTAATATTTCAGCTGAATCGAGTCAGTAATTCAAAGTCTTCTACATAGTGATCTCTATTTTCTAGGTTAGGTACAACGTACGCTTTACATTGAAAAATCAAATAATTTTGGTTTAAAGTATATTTGAGTCGTATTTTTATTAAATTAATATATGCGTTTAAATATACAATAATATAGTTTTATTTATTATTATGATTATTCATAAACTGCAGCGAATATGTTTTATTTATAGGTGTAGACTTTTTAACTATATTGTTTACTAACTTTATTCAACATTCATTTTCGTTATTTTCTTTTAGTTTTGTATTTTGCCAATTTTTGCCACCAAACAATTATTTTTTTGCTTTTAATAATTTATGTATGTATGTATGTTTATTCTTTTTTTTAATTTTCGTTTTTTTTCTTCTCTTTTTGATGTAAAAGGATACTCAATGTTTTTTTTAATATGTTTAGATATACATGCCTATATTTATTTTATTTAAACACATGAACCCTTTATACATACATATAAACCAGATAATTTGGTAGGTGTTGTTTTTGTTGTTGTTGTTGTGGTATTTAACTGTACATAACATGCTGCAGGTGGTAATTAAATAATATTTTAACTTTGAAGCTCCTACTAATCTAATACCAAATTTAAATATTATATATCTATGTATGTATGTATGTACTTAAAGCGTAGTTATGTATGTATATGGTACAGGATAAATAGAATTTCTGTATTTGAGAAACATTTTTTATCAGTTTAAATATTTTATATATGTATGTACGTTCGTACTTCACGAGTATCTTTAAAAAAAATTGTTTCTTGTTTATGCAGATGATTTTATTATATTATATTTTCGACAATAGAGTGAGTGGGTGGTGGTGATACACTTACATATGTATAAGAAAAATTAACGACGCTCTATATGTATGTACGGCTGGTGAAAGTGTACGTAGTAAGTATGTAAATATAATACATGGACTGCAGATTATTCACATAATGTGTTTTTTTTTTGTAAACTTCAATTAATTTTATATTCATTTTTAACGATGTAGTTTAGTTAGCGATTTTTTTTGTTTTTTTTTTTTTTAATATATAGACCATTTAACAAATACTACATATAATACTAGTTAATAATTTTCATTTATAGCTAATTTTCCCAAGTCGCTCATACACCAAACCGATATCTTCAAGTAAGTAAGAAAATAAATACATATATATATATGTATATATACATATATAACGGCTTAATTATTCATTTGAAAAAAAAAGGTTGCAAAAATAAAACAACAGAGGTAAAGAGAATAGTTTTTGAATTTTTTATGACGATTTGGCATTTGAACGGCTCTTTTTTTTGTAACATGTTTTCAAACAATGGAATAGAAAGAAAAAAAGTAGTTTGAATAAATTTCAAAATGATTAAAAAGTCCTTAGTAGCGACAAAGGATTTACATATGAGAAAAATAGTGTTATGCGATTAAACAGTTAACGTGTATATATGTATGTTAACATTGAATTTTAAAAACATAATTTGTTGCTCAAATCAAATTCAGGGTTTTATATATTTTTGCGCCAGAATTCCTTTAATTAATTTCTATACTATAATTTTGGAATGCTTTGGATTTAAGTTTATTTACATATACTATTTATCGTTGTAAATATTCAATAAATTACAACCTAACGGTTACAGATGCATACTATTACATATTATTAAATGTAAAGTAAATTGAAAAAACAAAAAACAGTTAGAGAAGACCATTATTTTGTTGAAAAGTAAACAATTACAACACAATTACACAATACAAGTTGCTATTAAGCGTCTAATCGCACAACACAAAAAATTCGTATGATCCGTTCATAATACATTAAATAGTTTAATTTGTTCAACAAATCCATGATTTTGCAACCCGTTTGTAAGTTTATTTGTCTAGTAGTATGAGATTATTCAATTAAATTCCTTTACATCTATGTATACATATATGTATAAGCATATACTTTGCTCAATATCAGTAGTAGCTAAATAGTAGTTGTAGCTGATCATATTTCTAATGATATAACGATAACGAAACTTGCTGTCACATACATTTATTTTTAACAAATCCCACCCAGACTACGACGCTATTCATATTAGGCGCAAAGAATTTTCATTTAGAAGGTATGTACAGAAATTTTTATTCTCTTTCATTTTTTTTTATTTCAAATAACGCCGCTGTATAGTGGAGTACTGGCAGACGGTTTAAACAAAGTGATTTTATTTTCAATTTTATTGAAAAAATGATGCTATCAACAGATACTACAAGTCATCTACCACTTGTTAATTTTAAATGTTTTATTTTTTTAATTTAAATTGTATTGCTATCTTTACTTATTTTATGCATCTTCCGTTATTTTTCATTTTATTTTACTTTATTACTTTTTTTTACTTCAAAGCAAACAAATTGTTTATGTAAAAATAATAAATTACATGTATATCATGTTTATTCGCATAGTTTACTTTGTTCAACAAACTTAGGTTTCAACTTAATATAATATGTTTGCATCGTTTTACATCTGATCGATTTATGTGAGTTTTCAACATTATTATTATACTTTTTTTCATTTATTTAAATTCTAAACCATCTAACATTGCAGTTTTTTTTTTAATCATATGCTTATGTGAAATTGTTGTGTTTAAAGTTTGCGTTGTGAGAATGTCAAACGTTACCGTTAATCATTCAACAGTAGTTCTAGCTATTTTAATACAATTCCAATCGCTTTAATCTTTACACTTTAAGATTTTCACACATACATATATGGAGAATTAAATATGCACTCAATATTGCTCACACAATTTGTTATGCTAATGTACTGCGAAAGCTATACATTTCTTTATACATATCAAGTTCGTGTATTAACGTACTCATTTCTTATAGTTTTCTTTTTTTTTTTAATATAGTATGTATGTATATTGGTAAAAAGTGTTGAATTTAGAGATGTGAATTGTGCTAAATAGGAGAGAGTAGTTATTCTTCTTTAATAGTTTTCGTTATTCCTGCGCTATTTTGTCCTTTCTTTTCTTTATAAAATTTAGTCATCGCGCCAGCAGTATCTCGCATCATTATAAATTCTTTTCTTGGACATTTTATCTTCATATTTCAGCCAACATAAATAGGTTGTCGTTGCTTTGTAGTATTTTAAAACTGATCTGACAGCAGATCGCACACTTCGCGGGTGACAGTTTCTTTGCTGGCGCGTATAGTAAGTCGGAACATCTGAAATAAAATTGAAAAAAAAAAATAATAATATTTTAAATTTAACTATTTTTACAAAAGTTAATTTAGCACTTACCTGCGCTTGTTTATTCGGTTCCAGTCGCAACAAACAACCCACTTGCTGCGTTTGTGTATGTATAATACCTGCACACACCATATTATCGGGATTAGGATCAACATTCTCCAGCAATTGCATGCCGAATCCCATTAGCTTATTACGCGCACCGGGTAGATCCAATGGCTGTTGTGCCTTAAACACCTTTTGTGCCCTTTGTTGTTCGCTATAAGAAATTGAAGTTAAAAATAAACATATAGTATTTTTGTGTATAGGAAAGGGAATAGGGAATAACATGATAGTTACCCTCCCAAATTTTTCCATCTCGCAAAGAATGACTCTCCGTTCATTTCCGTTGGCTCAAAGAATTTATTCAACGTTAGCGGCAACTTAATGCTAAATTTCTGTGGCACATTATTGTAGCGGAAATTAACTTCGATTGTAGGTGCGTCCGCGTAGTCCTCAATGCATTCAGCGGTGAGTAGTTGCTGAATTTGTGCACCTGCTTCGAGTGTAGGATCTACCGGTTTCATTTGCACATTAAGCTTTAATGCCTCCTCTGCGCTCCACTGCAGTACCGGCATGAAATTCTGTGAAAATAAGAAAATGTAAATTGGTATTGGAATTTTCAAAATCCGCTTCGAATTTACTAACCGTTAACGGTATTTGTGTTTTGTTGCCATAAAATAGACCTAAGCGTCCAAGATTTTGTCGAAATTCGCTCTTCACACCGATTTGCAGCATTTCATTTTCAAAGAGTACACCATTGTTCTTGAAGAGGAACTTCTTGGTGTTATATGTCGCCGCATTGTTATTGCCATAGATATCACCCAATACATCGATTAAAGTGCCGCTGCCGCCAGTGTTATTTACACCAGCCGGCGGTGTGCTCAAACCAAGCAAATCGGCATTGGCATTACTATTTACCCTGTGATGCAGGCAAAATAAATATTTTACATTTTTTTTAATTAATAAAATTGAAGAAAATATTGTACAAATACATACTTATGATTTACGATTACATTATTCTGCGCCAACGCATTCGGGGCTGGACTCTTTGACTCGCGTATCTCATTTTCGGGTACACGTCCCGGTTTCTTCTTCTTCAAAACAGCCAATATTGAACTTTCACGCTCAGGGAATGATGGCATCTCCTCTAATACAGTAGCTAAAACATCAGTCGACGCGACAATGCTCAATTGCAAATACTCGCTAGCACGCTGTTGCAATTCCGCATCAGCAGAGCGTAAATTGCTATGTTGACGGAACACTTCCTGAATGTTGGTACGTATCTCAGGGAAAAGATTTATAAATTTAATATATGTTGAGAGCAACAGTGCGCGTGTCATTGGTGAGCAGAGATGATATTTTGAGTGTAATAATTTAAATTGTACAAGTGGTGCCGAGCGTGAGTCACCAGCGATTAGATTGCCAAATTCGCCCAAAATATAGCCACCCACTTTAACCATATTTTCATGACAAGCTGGCGCCTGCAAAGCTTCAAAGACCGTTTTGGCTGCGTAACCTTGTACTTCTTCGCGATTGATTACAATCTGTATGACACGATACCACACTTCCTCCGAAACATAATCGCCAGCAATACGTATTAGATTGAGTATAACGTCCACATACCTACATTGACAATGCGACAATTATTTTGATAAATTTTAATATGTTGATTAAGTAAACAGAAAAATGTTGTACCAAGTGTAATCGGTAGCGTATTTTTCAGCAAGTATGGCCACTTTAAGCACCATCTCCTCCCGTATGGAATAGTCCGCAGTTTCCAAGTAGTTAAGCATTTCCTGCACGATTTCCTCAGCATTGCCACGATCGCACATCGCATATAACAAATCAACTGCCATTTGTCGCACCGAAACATCTTTTTCCATCTGAGCGTAGGTATAAAAATAATAATTTCATTTTTATTCTAACGGCAAATAAAGGAAATTTTTACTTACCTTCATAGAGAGAATAACAACCTCTTGATGTTTTTTTACTTCTTCATGTGAAAACTCCGATGTGGCCAAATGGCACATAGACTCTAGAGCCAAGTAACGCAAATTTGTTTCGCGATTACTCAAAAACTGTCCCAACTGATTACAAGCGCGTACCAACAAATTTGGCTCACTATCACTATGTATGATTAAGTTAATAGCCTCGAACAATACAGCATTCTTGGCATTCGAATGTTGAACCTTTTTACTCTTCGGTGGTTCTTGTGCCTTATTCAAAATAGTCTCTAGAGTTTCATTTAAACGTGCACGCACACCAGGCTCTTCTGTTACCGGATTGTAATTTTGTAACAAGCGTAATAGTTTCACTGACAACCAGGGCGCTGGCACAAAATAATAGGTATAATCTTGTAAATCCGTATAACTAGCGGTAACGATGCGTGATAGACGCGATACAGCTAAATTGACGCAACCTTTATACTCTTCTGGATTGCGCTTAACAAGTGCGTCGATCAGTGATGTGGCAGCTGTAACCACGCCCATATGTTGATCGTTGAGCAAATGAATAATACGAGAAGTCCATTCACCACCTGGTATTATATCGGGACTGGAGCGGAACAAGCGCAATAGACAAAGCGCTGCAGATTGCTTAACAACGTCCATTGTATCGCTAAGAGTTGTTAAAAAAAAAATTGTTTTAATTAAATTTTAACATAAAGTGTGCTATTTCGTGTAACTCACCCCGATACCAATAACTTTGGTATTTCATTCGAAAAAGATTCTGCCATATCTCGACTACCAATATTGGCAATACATTGTAAAGCCAAATTTACATGTACAGGGTTACGTGATTGCAAATCATTTTTGATAGACTGTATGATCAAACGTATTAAATCGCTGTTGGTGTTCACCAAAACCGAAATGAATAGGTAGCCCTGAAACGAAATTAATTAAATATTTAAATTTGTATAACAAAAGATGAGAGAAGATTTTTTTTACTATACTTCCACGTACAATTTGTTTTTCAGAATATTTATTCGATGAGAGTAAATTGACTGCCTCCATGTGCCCAAAATCGATGTCATGCCCAAGCAGAAATATAAATAACAGCTTACACACATACTTTTTCTTTTGATAACCGTCCAACGTTTTATCACCTTTGAATTTACTGCGTATATTAGCGAGCTCTTTATTTATGCGCTTCACCTCGGCTTCTTTACTTTTACCTATTGCAGAAACGAGAAGTGGAAATATTTTTTAAAACAAGTCTACTTTCAAGATTTAATGTGAATATATATAGCTGCACATGTACATATATATTTAACCTCCTCTCAGAAGAGCTGAAGCAATGATTTTTAATAAATATATTAATTTTACAAATATACTTAAGGCAAAAAAAATAATTCTAATATTTTTATTTTCGTATTTTTTTTTTTTCAATTTAAATATTAATTTCTTTACAATATCAATTGAAGCATTTAATAAAATTAATTAATATAAATAAAAAAAATTGTATACCAAATTCAAAAATACCCACGTACGACAATGTACACATCTCACATACTCGTACATATCAGACGATGTTTACACTCTGTAGATGCGACAACTATTCATGTTGCTATCGTTAAATTAACATGCGGCTTCTATAACGTACAGTGTAAATCAATTCAGAAAGACTTGGCGCCAAGCAGTACCAGCCACTGGTTATTGTGGTCGCACAAAATTCACAGCAATAATGTATACAAACATTAATTTGCGTTCAAATGTGTATGCGCTTATGTGCATATCAGTAGGGGATATGTATATGGAATAGATTTACATACATATATTACTACTCCATCTTTTGAAGTTGTAAATAACTTACAATAAATGAGTTAATTGCAACGACGTTTGACTGTAAGCTCTTAGCATTTGACGCCCCTGCGATATGCGCAATATTATTTGATAATGCATTGAAGCATCTACATATGTATCTATGTACACACATAAATATACAAATAGTGGGGCATACAAATCGTTAACGCTGAAGTTTTTCGCAATAAATATCGCATACATTTAAAAAATACGTTTATAATACTCAATAATAATTGCATACTCACAATTTCTTATATCCGATATAAAAACCGCCAGTCCTCTCATGCCATCCCCCCGCACAGGTGCCATTGTTGTTAGTTTATTAATTTTCGCTGTTTTACTGCAAACTGCTGCGATAAGAAAACTTTTACTTTATGTTGAACGGAAACACAAAAGACGTTTGACTGTCGCCGTCCAAATAGGTATGTATATATGTATATTCGATTTTTTATGTGGCAAATGTACACAAAATATAATTTTTTTATATTTCTGACCACCCCAATTAGTCTGAATACCCAGACCTTACGTTATATCCCTCTGAGTATGTGATTTATACTCGCTATTAAGCGTAGCGGCACGACAATGTACGCTGATAAGATGCCACCGAGTGGCTGTGGTGGATTGATTTTAGCTGCGACCGATTTGTTGGCAACTGGCTGATAAACAATTGCTGTGATTTACTGTGCGCTGAACTCGATCTGTTCGGAGGAAAGAAAATTATTGCAAACACAAAATAAGAATATATTATAATTTAATTCATTAATTAACAAAGTACATATCAGTGTTTATGTATATACATACATACAACTGCAAATGAGCATATGTATTTGTTAATCAGTTATTATTATACAGATGTATGCAATTGGTGATTCAAAGCGACTGAGTGATTTTCGGCCGAGCTTTTCCTCTGATTTGTGTTTTACGTGTTGATCTCCTTGGTCTCCTATTATTGGAAGATTTTAAACCATTTCCAAACGGCTGTTGAGTGTATGGACAAGAATCTCTTTATTTAATTGTCAAAAGACTCCTGGCAAGAATTCACATTCCCAGACAAGGAACATACGCATCTAATAAAATAGTTTTAATTTCATGGTCGGCTTGTGGTCTTGCTTGGGAAGTTTAGATTGATGTCAATTTATTTCGAAATTGCTCATATACAAACGTTCGATGTATTTACACAATTCCACATGCAAATATACGTATAAATGCGAATTTGTATATATGTATAGTATATAGTATATGCTATGTAACCCTCTAATCGCCAACACCATTGCCATTTTGCCGATAAAAAAAAAAAGAAAAACAAAGTTTCTTAAGAAAGCAAAATTGCAAATAAAAAACGTTATTGGCAAAATCTTTGCCAAATCGTATATTTTGTTACTGCGAATTTCTTTTGTATACATACATATCAAACTTCGAAGTTACATGCACGTATAAATCAAATATTATTCAGATTTAATGGGAGTATGTATTTAATGGAAGTTAATTTGTTTTTTATTTTTGCAGAAATTAACGAATTTATAAACGATTAAGATAAATCCACATATACATATGCACATGTAAAAAAAAAACATTTAAGAGATCTATAAGTTAAAAAGTGTTTTTCTCAAATTCAAATAAAAAAATGCAATGTGGCGCTGCTTTGGTTGATTGTACTAAAATGTATTTAATCTTAACCTGTAGATTAGCAATTCATATATAAAGATATAACTTTTGTTAAATGGAATGTTTACTATTATTTATGAAATTTAATAATTTACCGGCTCTTTAAAAATGTTTACTTTTCTTAATTATATTTTTATTTGATACTCCCAATATTCGGGAATTATTGTACGCCTAAATTTTCTCTTTTCCAATTCGGTGTTACTAACACAACCAGCCCTATATATACCTAGCTGAACGCCCCTAACTGCATTAAACGATGACGAAGACGAAAAAGATCCAAAAAAAAAAAGTAATATTTAATCAAATATCTTTGTTTATTGTCTGGCTTGCATTCAATTTAATATATACGGTTTATATCCTCATAGTTAGCAATTTTCTGCTGCTGTAATCATTATTTCTGCTTTAAGAAAGATTACAGCATCAACAGAAAAGAAACACAGATCTCGACTTCGACACGACGGCTTCTTTAAAAATAATTTCAATTACTTTCTGTGACTCTATTGGCGTACATGATCAAAATGGGCGTAGCAAAAGCCACTTCTTTGAAGCTGATTTATACGACTGCAACTTGGCAATTAATTCACTTAAACGTATTCGCTTTACAGATCGTTTTTATTTAATAAAATTTTTTTCATACAACACAGCACAAGTGAAAATGAAAATTTTTATTGATTTTTCCTTACGTTGACTTTTTACACAATTTTCTCTGATTTTCGCTTTTCCTCAACAGTGCTGCCCCTAACTTTTCAATCAAGCCATTCACAATGGACCGGCACTAATCTTTCGTAGTGATGCCCAATAAATGAAATTTAATTTGAAAACCGAAAATTTCTATGGTACAAATGTACGGATTAGTCAAGCGGTGGTAAATTTTTACTTACATAAGATAATTTGTTTCAGAATGTATTTGGCTATTTAAGCTATTAAAAAAAAAATTTGAAATTGTAAATCTCTATATACCTTGTAGCGTCGGCTTGTGAGAGTTCAGTAAATTCCCTTCAAAAAGTAAATTGTGTATTTAATTTAATTACGTTAACACTTTTTGACTGAACGTTTGAACTATAGAAAATCATTGGCTCTTTTATAATTTCGCGTTGATTTCCCAAATAACTCGGAATAGATTATCAAGGAAAGATTAGAAAAATTACAAATTATTTTATGCTTTATCAAATGGCTAAAAGTAAGCATCCACAAACTCTTATGTGCCTTAAACGTAATTCTGTCAAATACAACGGCAGCCAAGTTAGCTTCAAAGAAGAGATTCTCAAAACACGTCAAAATAGATATACAGTAATAAATTCGCATAGAATTGCTTATTCCGGTTTACATAAATTTTTATTTAAAATTATGCATAAAATTGAAAAAATATCTGGATAAACAATAATCCAAGTATTTGTGTACAAACTAAAAGTGTAAATTTACGACACTGAAGAAACGTAGACTGAAAATTTTTGTTGTAAGTGAAGTGCATTGTATCCATAAAAATGAGTTTTTCAAGTGATGAGGTGAACTTTTTGGTTTATCGTTATCTTCAAGAATCAGGTAATTATTGTAATTTTTACATAATTTTTTTCTGAAAGTAAAATTATTATTTGAAGGTTTTGTGCATTCGGCTTTCGTATTTGGGGTTGAGTCTCATATTTCCCAAAGCAATATAAATGGTGCGTTGGTACCACCAGCCGCGCTGCTCACTATACTGCAGAAAGGTCTGATGTATACGGAAGTAGAATGGAGCGTGGGAGAAGATGGGGAATCAGGTCGTCCTGTTGAAGGACTAAGCTTAATAGATGCAGTTATGCCTGAAGTGAAACCAGCCAAACCGGCAGCTGTCAAATCTGAGCCGGGTAAATCTGGTGTCGACAGCAGTAGTGCGGCTGCGTCTTCCACTACCACTGGAGGAGTAGTAAAATCGGAGGTTAAACCCGAAAATGGTGCAGGAACTATAAACAGCAATGAACAAACATCGGGGGCATCAGCAGCAGTCACAGCAAATGCTGACTCTAATGAAACCGATAATGCGAACTCAGCAGCTGGTAATTCTGGAAACAGCACATCTTCTGTTGGTGCAGCAAATTCTACATCAGGCACAAGCAGCGATTCTACTAATAATAAGAAGGCAAATACAACTGAAGGAACCGTCGCAAGCGTTATGTCCACAGATGATTCTAATACAAATGCAAGTGCCAATAGCGCAAATAATGCTACTAGTGCTAATACCAACGTTAATGAATCAACCTCAGCAACTAATGTCGCCGCAGCCAGTTCGACAACAGGTACAAATATTCCCAGTACCGGCTCTTCGACTACGTCTACTGGTAGCACAACTAATACATGTGTTACCTCAGGCAACTCTGATGTTATGTCCCAGATTCAAATAAATAATAACACTGCTACGCCAGCAGCAGGGGAGCCAATGGACATTGATCAAAGTATTGAAATTCCAGCCTCAAAAGCAACAGTTTTACGTGGACATGAGAGCGAAGTATTTATTTGCGCTTGGAATCCCAGTCGGGATCTGTTGGCCAGTGGCTCTGGAGATAGCACGGCACGTATATGGGATATGTCCGACGCAACTACTAGCCCTAATCAATTGGTTTTGCGTCATTGTATTCAAAAAGGAGGTGCCGAGGTGCCCAGCAATAAGGATGTTACTTCACTGGATTGGAATGTAAGCTTAAATACATTAATTATCAAAAAAAATTTACATACTTTTTATATTGCCTTTTTAGTGTGACGGTACTTTGCTAGCTACTGGTAGCTATGATGGCTATGCACGCATCTGGAAGACAGATGGCCGCTTAGCATCCACACTGGGACAACACAAGGGACCAATATTTGCATTAAAATGGAATAAACGGGGTAATTTTATTCTCTCTGCTGGTGTCGATAAGACCACAATAATTTGGGACGCTTCGACTGGACAATGTACTCAGCAATTTTCATTTCACAATGCTCCTGCTCTCGATGTAGACTGGCAAACAAATGTATCTTTTGCTTCATGCAGTACTGACCAGCGTATACATGTTTGTCGTCTTGGCTCGGATGTACCCATTAAAACATTTAAAGGTCATACTAATGAGGTAAATGCTATAAAATGGTGCCCTCAAGGACATTTGTTAGCCTCTTGCTCTGACGATATGACACTAAAAATTTGGAGCATGAAACAAGACAAATGTTGTCATGATTTACAAGCGCACTCAAAGGAAATATATACAATTAAATGGTCACCCACTGGTCCGGGTACACAAAACCCTAATACAAATCTTATACTGGCATCAGCTTCATTTGATTCAACAGTACGTTTGTGGGATGTAGACCGTGGTAGTTGCATACATACACTTACGAAACATACAGAACCAGTTTATTCGGTGGCATTTAGTCCAGATGGTAAATATTTAGCGTCAGGAAGTTTCGATAAATGTGTCCACATTTGGAGTACTCAATCTGGACAGCTGGTACATAGCTATAAAGGCACTGGAGGAATTTTCGAAGTATGTTGGAATTCCAAAGGTACTAAAGTTGGTGCAAGCGCATCTGATGGAAGTGTTTTTGTGCTGGATTTAAGAAAAATGTAGAACATAATGTAATTTATATGTATATGCTTATTAGCAAAGAATTTGAGAAAAAAGCATTTCAATATTTTATATATTAAAACGGTTGCATTAATAATGCAAAATGTTAGTTATAATTTATATTTACTTAAAATCTTTCTTTAAAATAATTTTAAAAGTACAACTTGCAGTATATTTCTGTAGTTTTATAAGAAAAAAAAAGAAATTATTTCTCCCAAGTAGTAATCAATGTAACTTTGGTTGATTGTCATTATCTTCGGGAAGAAAATATATAACTCTTGATTCAATAAATAGTTACACTATATTTTAATCTGGTTGTTTCGTGTTCATGTTCCCCAAATTTGCAATTGAATTATAATTGGAAACCAATTTTTTGTTCACTCGCACTGATTATATCCACCAGCAAAGATTTTATAAAAAATTTCAAAACAAAACCAACGTGACAGCTGTCAAAGTGCGTTTAAAAACATTCGTCAAGCGGCTGCAAATGCTCACTTATCTCGTTATCTGTCGGTTTCATTTTATACATTTCAAATATGTTCGTTTCAAAAAGTAAATTATGTATTTAATTTAATTATGTTAAGACTTTTTGACTGAACGTTTGAACTGTAGAAAATCAATGGCTCTTTTATAATTTCGCGTTAATTTTCCAAATAACTCGGCAAAGGTTAGAAATATTATAAATTTATTTTGTGCTTTATCAAATGGCAGAAACTAAGCATACACTAAACTCTTATGTGCTATAAACGTAAATCTGTCAAATACAAAGACAGCCAAGTTAGCTTCAAAGAAGAGATTCTCAAAACACGTCAAAATAGATATACAGTAATAAATTCGCATAGAACTGCTTATTCCGGTTTAAAAACGTTTTTATTTGAAATTATTCAAAAAATTAAAAAAAAATCTCGAATTTTGTTTAACCAAGTATTTGTGTACAAACTAAAAGTAAATTTACGACACTGAACAAACGTAGGCTGAAAATTTTATTGTAAGTGAAGTACATTGTAGCCATGATTCATTAATTAATGAATCATGAATTGTTGTTGTTTTTGCACCGGCTTCGTTAACCCTGCGTAGGGACAGGTTAATTAATCTAAGTCACCGAGGTTATCTAACGGGAGGTCCAGGAAACATGCTGTTTCGTCGTGATCCGACCAGAGGAAGAGGGATGTTATATGTGTCGGTTTTGGGTGGCATGTGAAGAGGTGGTTAGTGTCGTGCAGAGACACTCCACATGCAGGGCATACGTTGGATATGTTTGGGCCGAGTAGGGATTGGTAGGACCTAAGTTGTGCTCGTGTCACGCGGGTCCTTCAGGGTTGCTCGAGCTCTTTGTCTGCAGTAGGTGGTGTTTTTTTCTGAACACACCATTCACAGGAAGGGAGTCTTTGAAGGTGTCGATTGACTCCTGAACAGAGATCGTAAATATCCTGGCAGACGCCATTATCGTACAATCATCGGCATATGGAGTTAGGGAAACTCCTTCTGGTGGACGAGGGAGTTTCGGAATATAGAAATTAAACAGTAGCGGGGAGAGGACACCACCCTGCGGAACCCGTTTTGATGTTTCACCCCGGAATATTACCGATGATTGTCGACCACTCAGGTAGCCCATAACCCATCCCTGCAACCCCGGAGTCCGTTAGTAGCACTGAGTTTTCGGGCGATAGGACTCTCCTTTGTTAGCTGGTTTCCCCGGTTTGAGTAGCGAGACCACCCTCCCCAGCTTCCACACGTCGGGTGTCATTAGGGTGGTCAGAGACAAATTGAGGACGCTCGTGAGATATCCTGCCTGACTGGTCCTAGGTTTTTGGGCATCAGCATGCCTCTTTCGTCGGGGCCGATGGATTTGGAGATTTCGCCTTCCCGATGACCCCCTAAACCTCTTCCCTGGAAAAATCAAGCACCGCGCTGGTGTTTGGCAGTTTCCGCATACGGCGGTTTACACGTCGCTTCGCTTTGTATACCGAAGTATGCAGTGTGAAAAGTCGGCTAAAATAACTATATCAGGACTATATACAACTGGGTAACTTGTAACAGGAGGAATGTATGTATTAAATATCTCGAGCTCAACATCTTTTGACTAGATAGCTAAGCCCTGACATTCTAGGGTAATATCACTGCGGTCGATGTCGCCTTCGATAATGTTGCATCTGGCCCGGCTCAGCAGATTCGAGCGAACGGTCAACTTCGTTTCCGAAATCGCATTAATTGTTCGGTGCTCCGGGCTCATATCGTCAACTATCTCGATATTATCCTGGAGTCCGTTGAAATTGAATTTAAATAGTTGTGCCGATCTCGGGGGTACGTGATACAGGGAGTGACGGAGTGATGTGTGGATGTAGTGTGTTATTGCTGTACTACCCACTGGATAGGATGCAGCACGTTGGTGTTGGTTGTTGATACAAGCGGGGGCAGATTCCTATAGCATGGGGCAACATACGCAACACACCACTCACGGGTGGTGCGCAGGCTAGAGCACGTCCGAAAATGGCACCAGCTAGAGCATGAGTTGCATCTGACTGAGGTCGTGTTGCGACGCACTATGGCCTGACAAACGGATTTGGACCACTCCATATGGGTCTTAAGGTCTGAGCAGACCCTAAGATGACTCCAACCATTTTACTGGTTACATCTAATCAATATTACTTATTGACCTAAAGGGGGTTAGGTCGGCGAAAGGGTGACAGCCCTTGGCCCTATAAAATACGGGTCAACTCCGGTGCGTAGAACCGCTGTGTAAAAGTTCAGGTAATTATTTTAATTGTACATTATTGTTTTTTAAAGGACTTTTGAAAAATTAAGCTCAATAGATTCAGTTATGCCTGAAGAGAAACCTTACAAACCGGCTGCTGTCAAACCTAAGCCGGCAAAATCGTGTGCCGACAGCAGTAGTGCGGCTGCGTCTTCCACTACCGCTGGAGGATTAGTTAAATCAGACGTTAAACCTGAAAATAATGGTTCAGGAACTATAAACAGCAATGAAAGAACATCGGGCACATCAGCAGCAGTAACAGCAAATGCTGACCCTAAGGAAACCGATAACAATGCAAATTCTGCAGCTGGTAATTCTAAAAGCAGTGCAACCTCTGTTATTGCAGCAAATTCCACATCAGGCTTAATCAGCGATTCTACCACCCTTGATAATAAGAAGGCAAAAACAACTGAAGAAACCGTCGCAAGCGTTATGCCAAATACTCCCAGCACTGGCTCATCTACTGCGTCTAATACATGTATTACCTCAGGCAATTCTGATGTTATGTCCCAGATTCAAATAAATAATAACACTGCTACGCCAGCAACAGGGGAGCCAATGGACATTGATCAAAGTATTGAAATTCCAGCCTCAAAAGCAACAGTTTTGCGTGGACATGAGACCGAAGTATTTATTTGCGCTTGGAATCCCAGTCGGAATCTGTTGGCCAGTGGCTCTGGAGATAGCACGGCACGTATATGGGATATGTCCGACGCAACCACTAGCCCTAATCAATTGGTTTTGCGTCATTGTATTCAAAAAGGAGGTGCCGAGGTGCTTAGCAACAAGGCTGTTACTTCACTGGATTGGAATGTAAGCTTAAATACATTAATTATCAAAAAAATTTACATACTTTTTACATTGCCTTTTTAGTGTGATGGTAATTTGCTAGCTACTGGTAGCTACGATGGCTATGCACGCATCTGGAAAACGGATGGCTGTTTAACATCCACACTGGGTCATCACAAGGGATCAATATTCGCTATAAAATGGAATAAACGAGGTGATTGTATTCTCTCCGCTGGTGTCGATAAGACCACAATAATTTGGGACGCTGCGACTGGACATTGTGCTCAGCAATTTTCTTTTCACAATGCTCCCGCTCTTGATGTAGACTGGCAAACAAATGTATCTTTTGCTTCATGCAGTGCTGACCAGCGTATACATGTTTGTCGTCTTGGCTCGGATGTACCCATTAAAACATTTAAAGGTCATACTAATGAGGTAAATGCTATAAAATGGTGCCCTCAAGGACATTTGTTAGCCTCTTGCTCTGACGATATGACACTAAAAATTTGGACCATGAAACAAGACAAATGTTGTCATGATTTACAAGCGCACTCAAGGGAAATATATACAATTAAATGGTCGCCCACTGGTCCGGGTACACAAAATCCTAATACAAATCTTATACTGGCATCAGCTTCATTTGATTCAACAGTACGTTTGTGGGATGTAGACCGTGGTAGTTGCATGCAAACACTTTTGCAGCATACAGAACCAGTTTATTCGGTGGCCTTTAGTCCAGATGGTAAATATTTAGCGTCAGGAAGTTTCGATAAATGTGTCCACATTTGGAGTACTCAATCTGGACAGCTGGTACATAGCTATAAAGGTACTGGAGGAATTTTCGAAGTATGTTGGAATTCCAAAGGTACTAAAGTTGGTGCAAGCGCAGCTGATGGAAGTGTTTTTGTGCTGGATGTGAGAAAAATGTAGAAAATAATGTAATTTATATGTATATGCTTATGAGCAGTGAATTTTAGAAAAAAAGCTTTCCAATATTTTATATATTAAAACGGTTGCATTAATAATGCAAAATGTTAGTTATAATTTATATTTACTTAAAATCTTTCTTTAAAATAATTTTAAAAGTACAACTTGCAGTATATTTCTGTAGTTTTATAAGAAAAAACAGAAATTATTTAAGTAGTAATCAATGTGGCTTTGGTTGATTATTATTATATTCATGAAAATATATAACTCTTGATTCAATAAATAGTTACACTGTATTTTAATCTTGGTTGGTTCTTACCTCCATAAATAAAAAAACCTTCAATAATGCAAGTTAAAACAACAATATCAACATCGTGTTATAGTGTCTACTGTATTTCCTTTTACATATAATTTTGTACAAAATTACTTGCAAAAAATTCAGTACAAGCATAAATACAAATACCTTATATGATTAAAGCTTCTGGTCTAGAATGTTCGCTATCGCCTTAAGAATATCACCATTAATATCTCTCAACCCTAAACAAAATATAATTTCTATGGGGCTTCTGCTCAACTGCGTTCTGTTTATTAAAAATTGAATACCGGCACGGACCTCCACTTTGTCGACACCTAATAAACATTTCATTGTCACTGGAACTGATGTGTGAAATTCAGATAAATTCTAAAGAGTGAGAAAGGACGAATATTGGTTGTATGTACAACAATAAATATGTGTATAAACCATTCCATACCACAGGAGCAATACGGTCGGCGCGTTCATCTTTTGCATCGAATTGAACCATGTATAAGTTTGGCAGAGCACCGTACTGAGTAATGAGGACCATGTATTTATTTGTAAAACGATGAACTACAAATTTAGTAACATGTTCCCCTACTTTGCAATTGAATTGCAATTGGAAACCAATTTTTTGTTCACTTGGAATGATTATTTCCTCCATGTCAAATTTGTCCCAATGATTTTACAAATAAATTTCAAAACAAATCCAACATGACAGCTGTCAAAGAACGTTTACATACTATTGGGTTGCCCAAAAAGTAATTGCGGATTTTTTAAAAGAAAGTAAATGCATTTTTAATAAAACTTAGAATGAACTTTAATCAAATATATAATTGCCATTTTGTTCGATAACCTCTTGCCATCTTCCTGGCAAATTTAGTATTCCACGCTCATAGAACTTCTGGCCTTTATCGGCAAAAAACTGAACCAAGTGCGATTTTATAGCTTCATCATTGCCGAAAGTTTTACCATTTAAGGAGTTCTGCAAAGATCGAAATAAATGGTAGTCTGATGGTGCAAGGTCAGGGCTATATGGTGGATGCATCAAAAGTTCCCAGCCAAGCTCACTCAGTTTTTGGCGAGTGACCAAAGATGTGTGCGGTCTAGCGTTGTCCTGGTGGAATATGACACCTTTACGATTGACCAATTCTGGTCGCTTCTCCGACTGTATTCAATTTGTCCAATTGTTGACAGTAAACATCCGAATTAATCGTTTGGTTCCTTGGAAGCAGCTCAAAATATACGACACCCTTCCAATCCCACCAAACAGGCAGCATAACCTTCTTTTGGTGGATATCAGCCTTTGAAGTGGTTTGAGATGGTTCACCATGCTTGGACCATGATCGTTTTCGACTAACGTTGTTGTAAACAATCCATTTTTCATCTCCAGTTATGATTCGTTTTAAAAACGGATCGAATTCATTGCGTTTAAGGTGCATATCACAAGCGTTGATTCGGTGTGTTAAATGAATTTCTTTCAATACATGTGGTACCCAAATATCAAGCTTTTTCACCAGTCCAAGACTTTTTATGTGATTTGATATATTGATTTTGGTATATTTAATTTCTCTCCTGTCTCACGCTCAGTTACATGACGATCCAATTAGATTAATGCTTTGATTTGGTCATCATCAACTTCATTTGGCCGACCTGAATCTCCAGAACGGAATTTGCGAAACCAATTTTGACACTGTCTTCCTTTTAAGGCTTCATCACCATACACATCTCGTAACTTTTTAGCAACCTGCTCTGCGTTTTTTCCTTTACGGAAATAATAAAGCAAAATTTGACGAAAATGCTCCTTTGTGAGCTCCATATTAAAATTGACGCCAAACAAATAAATCTAAACAAAATTTCGCTTCTTTTCTAAAGCAAGCTAAAAGCAACAGCTGATAACTGACAGAAGAATGAATGCAATTACAGAGTCACAAGCCGTTGGATAAATTTGTCAACGCCGACTATATGAAAAATCCGCAATTACTTTTTGGGCAACCCAATAGCTTTAGAAGTTGTGCGTTAATTCATATAAAAGTATTAAATCGCTTCACTTCATTGCTCCGTTTTGTAACGCAATAAAATATTTCTACATATCACAGAAGAGTAAACAACGCTAAAATTCATTTCATGTTCCTGGAATATATTTCGGGCGTATACACAATTCGATGTATTTTGACTATAACGCGGATCATAAGGGGAGAAAAGTTATAAATTGTAAAACTAAATCCGATATACCAAAGACAAGGCTGATAAAGGGCTTAAAAAATTATATGTATATCTACAGTAAAACTCATTATTTGCTTCGTTCGGACATGAAAATATATCTTTTAAATTAGTAATATTTATAAGAATTAATTTATTGTGTAAAAACTTAATAACCAAAATTTAAAATTTATTTTCTTAGTTATAGGTTTATGAATTTTTTTATTTTAAATATTTACTTTTATTCAGTAATTCCTTTTTATTACTTAATGTTAAATTTATTACAAATTTGTTATGTTGTACTAAAAAATATTTAAGTAATCTCATTGTATTAATGTTTTTGTTAAATAAACAAAACAGGCAATATATATTAGTCTTTTATGATGTAAATATTTTATCAACATTCTGTATATATTTCATATAGATGATTTCCAAAACTACGTATTTTATTAGTATATAGTCGAAGCACGTAATAAGATTACCTTAAATTTGTTTCCTAAACAATACATCCCTACTCTAAATATTTGCTGTAATTGTCAGGGCTTTGTTTGTTTTGCTTACAGGTACTTTTGTTTACGAAAATTGTTGTAAACAACAATAAATACAAGTCTTTGGGCATGTATTTACACTTAATTCTACAACTTTGGTCACTTAAGAAATAAGAGGAATACTAGTAGCACCTGGCGTTTTCGGGACTTTTAAAAGCTTTTTATTATTAATAAATATAACATTTTAATACAAAACAAAAAATAAAAATTGAAAAAATGGATAGAAACGTAAAGTTAAAACGAATCTTATTAGTTTATAACAGAAATATGGAGCTATTCAAGTCAGTTCAATCAAGTTTTGATAACAGACTAGCTTTATACAGAAAGAAAAAGAAAGATAACTTGGCAATACTTCAACGTTTAAGGATGCATCAGCTCTTACTCTTAGCGGCATTGGACGAAAATGCAAGTCAAAGATCGTTATGGAAGTTGGTAAATAAATTATAAAAACTATAGATATATTACTTTGAAATTCACGAAATTTTCTTTTAAATAGAATCGTGAATCTTCTTTTTGGGAAGTCAGTTGTAATAACAATGATGACCATTTTTTCAAAACACATTTTCGCATGGGACGTGCAAGTTTTGACGCACTCTGTGGCTTTCTTGGCAATTTAAAAAAATCAAATACAAATTGGCGCACAGCTATTTCATTGCAAAAACGTGTGGCAATCGCATTATTTGCTCTTGGAACAAGTAAGGAATATAGAGTAGTATCTGAACTGTTTGGTGTTGGAAGGTCTACTGTGTGCACCATATTATCTGAGTTCTATGAAGAGGTTTGGCAAGCGTTGTATGCGAAGTATCTAAAAAAGTTACCTCCCACACCAGAGGCTGTAGCAGATCTTGTTGATGGTTATAGTCGTCTAGGCTTTCCACAATGCCTAGGAGCAATTGGTATGAAAAAATATGCATATGTGTATTATGTCTGAAATCTGGATTATAATATTAAATTTTTTAGGGGGTTGTCACATCGAAGTTAAGCCGAATTCAGACGATGCAATTGATTACGTGAACTCTGAAGGATGGTATTCCATTGTCTTAATAGCTTTGGTCGATTACAGGTTTTTTCTTATTTATTGTAAATATTTATAAAGCTTTTTTAAAATAACATTTACATATAGATGCCGTTTTTTATACGTAAACGTTGGTTCTCCAGGACAATGCACTTATTCAGAAATATATAATGCATCGTTACTTAAGGAGGTTTTGACAAAGAATGAGCTTTTAATGGCCAATACGAAAGAAATTGGAGGAGTTCAAATGCCCGTGTGTATCATAGGAGATTCTTCGTTTCCACTTTCCTCTTCACTGCTTGTTCCATACATTTGCTCCAACGATTTAACAGAAGATCAAAAAGTTTTCAATTATAAATTGTCAGAAAGTAGACGAGTTGTGAAGCATACCTTTACCTACTTGAAAGCGCGTTTCCGGCGTCTTGAAATGGAAATAGATAACCGAATAGGAAGTGCATCGCTTATTGTTAGAACGTGCTGTGTATTGCATAATTTTTTGAACGAAAGATTTGACATAATTTTAGACGTGTGGTTGGAGGGCTTGCAGGAAATAAGACGAGATCGGAAAAATCCTATACATAATTTTGTTAATGACAACAATCCGGATGCTGATCAATTAAGAAAAGGACTATGTAAATATTTTAGTGAGTACAAATTTTTATTTATCTTTTTTTATATCAAAATAATGGATTTGCTTTTGTGAATTTTAAAGTTTTGTATCCTTTTAGCTATCATTTTTTAAAAATACTGATATTATATTTTTCAGTTCTTCGTTAACTGTTGCAATCTGCTTTAAAGAATCAGCTTTTTGTTGTTCTATTTTCAATATTTCCTTATCATAATCACTACTATTTTTTAAATGCCTAGTTATTTCAGATGACAGCATTTCAAATTTCTGCAAAATTTTTACTTGGAAATTACTCATACAATTCTTCTTTTTCTTTTTAGGTAGAGATGCAGTGGACCTGTTTGGTGTAGGTGAGGTTGGTGATAGAGCCCGCGGTGATACAGCCCGCGGTGATACTGATGGGGGAGGAGGTGACCCTTGCTGCGAGGACGGCGTTGAGTGTAAAGGTGTGAGTAAAGGTGATGATAATGGCGAAGACTTAGTTGCATGTGGAGTCGGATTTGATGAAATGGCAGTTTCTATAAAAAAAGAAATTTTAAACTTCGAACAATAAACTTTAAATAAAAAAAATTATAAGTTTATTTTAATGTTGAATATAGGCATGTTGTTCTGTCTAAATCTTAACCTATGTAAGTTTATTCAGCCGGATTAATAACATACCATCCATGCTGTCCAATGTTAGCTTAAAGAATGTATTGGGTTTAAAATCGCCTATAATATGATGAACCCTTTCATAGAAAGGCCATGGCGAAGGTATTGTTTCCTTACTGCAAGAAAGCAAAACATGCAGCTACAAACAAAATTATCACACACTTCTTACCGGTAACGTTGTGTAAAGTTTGCTAATTTCACTTGTACATCTCGACCGCTGTAGTTATAGCCCAGCTTAGCCAGATCGTTCGCCATCTCCCCGTAGATATGACTATTTCTCCGTTCAGTGCGTAGCTCTTCCACTCTTTCTGCCCACAATTCGAGAATTGCCGCTTCACTTTGTTCATTCCATGCTAGTCTCTTTCTTTTCGATTTTGGAGCTATTAGAGATGTAATATATGTGCGAGCATTTATTTACAATTGTGCTGAATATTTGCATTTGGCTACTTCGTTTTCACTCACCATCCATAGTTTAATATTTTCAAACAGAAATCTAATTGTTCCCTTAATTTAAATTTTGGCCGATTTATACGCATTCAATTAAGTAATATTTGTCTGAAGTCAATTGAGCATTAATTGACTATAACTTTTGCACTGTGAATCAACGACAATTAGTTCCTTACTGTCAGGAAACTAATTTTAACAGCTTATTAAGCTTCCTTTTTCCAAAATTTTCGATATAAATCTAATAATTGATTGACATATAAATAAGCATTACACTAATATAGCGTAGAATGATAAATTGTACAATCGCTCAATTAAGAATATTGAAAAACAAATTTTGCTCAATTAAAACTTAATAGAGAAAAAATTTCCCTAATTATTACTGCCAGTTTGAATTGATTATAATAAGGCGAATTCATTTAAAGGTGATAGACAGAGCAAATTACAAGAGGAATGCCAAGATACAAAAACAATGATATTTGACCACTTTTGTTGTGGTTGTATATGGTGTGATAACTTCATATTTCATGAGTTCATTTTGGTGTTTTTCGTGAATTACAGATTTCTAGTTTTTATTATAACGATTTCACACAAATGAAATTCCTTTTACAAAAGCAAACCCGATGTTTGTTGTCCAAAGACAAATTAGCTGTTGGGATCCTTTTGCATGTTAAAACTTGCCCTGTTCTTAATTTTTCCTTTGTTTTCTTAGAATTAAGTGCACCCTGTTTGAGTTCACCTTAACAAACCACTTGACATCGTATTGAGGCAAAAGATGAGTTTTTGGCAAAATACTCAAACCATATGAGATGAAGTTATCCTATGATGTGCTTGCTTGTTCATATTTATATTTTCTAAAATAAATATACCATTCTTCAGAAATATATTCTTAAGTTATCAAAATATATTGATATATTTAGAGAAAAAATCAATTTGACTTAAAAACTGTTGTCTTACCAACGCCACCTTATAATACACTTTTAAGCATGGTATGGCAGTGCCATTTTTTGCATGGTTGCATTAATTTACCCAAATCTCTATTAATCGAAAAGTTTTACTTTTGAATTCATAAAAAAAATTTAAAATGGTCCATTATTGTCGATAGCAATAATATTTAAGAAGATATGCTAGATATCAGCTTGCTATTTAATATCCATTTTTTCGTTTTTGAATTTTGTTGTTTGATTATATCATTTTCCAAATACCACTTTGAAAGTGAATTCTACTCCTTATACCTTAATAGAACAGTGCATTTTCGGATGGCAGTTAATACAACTAAACTCAAAAACGTAGTTTTAAGAAAGCTAGCAACACTGAGCTCGGAAGTTTTCTCTTGACGTTAATTAGTACACAAATTATTTTTTCAGTTGAGAAAAAAGAGCAGAGTTGATATATTATTGGTTTTTTGTTGTGGAATTTGTTTATTACGATACTCTTTGTTATCTGTTAGAAACTAATACACAAAAATAACTAAAAATTTTAAGTAGCCGTATACTAGCCACATCAATCCCAAGAGCCCAACGTTTGAATTTTAAGAATAAATTAAAATATTATGATATATAAATAATTATTACTAAAAGTGTTGTTTTATAAGTGCAGTGTATAAATAATTAAAAAAATATACAAGCACTTGGTATTTACATACATATATCTGTGTATAGCCCATAACTACTTGTCGACGAATTGCTGTGATTGGTGTGGATTCATTGTAAAAAGTGTCAGTGGCAGTGGCAGTTGCATAAATAAGTTGTTTGGTTGGTTGCGCATAGTACCTACGTAAAAGTGTTGTGCTGTCGATTTGTTCTTGCGATATATTTTATGTGTTTATTTTTTTTAATCTGTGGCATGAAGCTAATATTCTGGGCAGTGGCTTCTTAAAAAATTGTGTAGGAAAACCTACCGAGTGAAATTATTTGTTATTTTCAAATATACAAAAAAATTTCAAAAACCATTGTCGCCTTTTACAATATTTAATAAAATTACAAAAAGGCAACAAAATTCAATTCGTTTTTGTTTACAACTCTTCATTACATTCCGAAGCTACGGATCCCCAAGGGACTTCCGTCCATAATCCACCATCGGATACAGAGCGTTTCGCTTCATCCGACAGTGAAGGTGAATTAGTAACAGCTGCAGCCACGGGAGTAAAAACAATAGAACCGTACATAATACAGCAAATACGCAGCGAAAAGCAGCAGGAACAAAAACAAAATAAATATAATATTCATTGGCAATTGAGCATTAAAAGGGCAAGTTTTTTGAAAAATACGGATATGGCAGCTGTTGCGCGTAAGAAACAGGATGACAAGTACCTGCAGGTTTTACGAGAGCTGGTAACAAGCGGTGGTGGAAATAGGCAATGTTTCGATTGTGGTCAAAAGGGACCCACTTATGTCAACATGACAATTGGATCGTTCGTTTGTACAAGATGTTCAGGAGTTCTGTAAGTAATTTTATAAATAAGATACAACTAATTATTGACACTCTTTTCTTTGCTTTAATAAGCAAAGGAAATTGTGCTAAAAACAGTTTCATTCTATGTTAGAGATTAAATTTCTTTGATGATCGCATAAATACATATGTATTTATGTATATTTCAAATATTACACACTCTTTCTGTGCTGTAGCTGTTTTTATGATGTGCCAGAAATCTTTCAAAATACGATAAAAGTGCAATGCTGTTGTCGTTGCACTAATATTTATAGTTACTGCAATATTTCTTCCACAGTTTTTCCACATAAATAAATTTTAAACTATCATGCCTGCTTTAAATGGTAGCTGCGATAACCGCGGTTATTTATTTATATTTTTGATATCTTCATAACTGCAAGATATACAAACATATTTCGCATATCTGCATAGACTTAGACCGTTCTGATATAAACAATACAATCAAAAAAATAGTCTCATTTCCGTGATCATTCAAAGGTGGTGCGTCACTGTTTTTGCATTTGGATGTAAACAAAAAACAGCTGATTTCGTAATTTATAAATTGATGGGGGAAAAGTAAGGGTTATTTCGAATAAAAACTATTTAAAATTCGTTCGTATATTATACTCGTTTTTTATACAACAATGGTATTCTCGCGGTATGATTTTTTATGGGCTGTACTGAGGTTAGGCGGGTGCACGCGAACTCGTATGAAACACTGCATTTCTAAACCACTATTTTATAGTTCAAAGTCATGCTTATAATTGCATTTCGAATAATGCCTACTTACACATGAAATATGTATAAAGGTATGTATATATATACAAACGATGGTTTTATATTTATTTGCGACGTTTGAAGAGTTCAATACATTAAATCTGATTTCAGTATAGTTCTAAGAAATAAACATAAATATTATTTTTTTTTAGTAAAAAAGGGAATTTCGATGATAGCCAATTCAGCAAAATAGTTTTTTTTGCACAAAGCACAATTATATTTAATGATTTCATAATTCTTAAGAACATTTTTTAAAAACCCTCGGCAAGAATCTTATTGAAAGTTTTTAATCCACTTTTTGTTTCATACGTGCATGAATTATTTCGTTAACACAGTTAAAAGCTAGCTGCTGATTTAAATGCCGTAGTCACAAATATATTATCGATCAGTCATTGTACAGACACACATATATCCGAGATTTATTGTGTTAAAATGAAAAAATAATACTAATTTTTATTTAAAAAGGTGAAATATAAAAATAGTTCAAAATAAAAAATAAAATGTCTAAAAATTTTAGTATAAGTATACCTACATAGTTACACTACAATAAAAATGCAATTTAAATTTACAAACAGTGATTTCTGCGGAATGTTTCTTGTAACAAATTTACAAAAAAAATCACTTTTTTGTCGTTTCTACATGATCTCTCAAAATTATGTATTATTTTTTTTTATTGTATGTATACATATACATAAGCACGTATTTCATATTAAATTAAATTGGCCTACATGCATTCGTATATTTTTATCTATTTCCATTCATCTAAAAAAAGTGTTTGAAAAATGACCATAAAGTTTGACATACATACATGTATCATATATAAAACGAAAATATTCATCTACCTTCAATTCACCAAAATCAATCAAAATGCAAATAAGTTGACACCAGTTTAATATCAGCTTTTATTTATTCATTGAAATTTTAGCTTCTGGCTTTCGCATAAGAAGTATATATAATACATATGTACAAACTTATATGCATACATGTAGCATATGTATGTATGTAGTAGAAAACATATGCAGCACGTGTTTGTGTACCAAAAAAAAAAAAGAAAAAAACGCAGGGAATGCAATACTGAGAAATTTCAAATATATTTGTGTTTCTATATACATTATACATATGTATATACACACTTTCTGTATACAAGAATTCTCAGGTAAATGTACATATTTTTGTAAATAATAATGCTTTGAATGTGTTTATGTTCAAAATTCACACATGAAGGCATGCAAATGTGCATTTCTACATACCTATATGAATGTACATACATATATGTGTGCGAGTATGCATATGCATACAAGCTGTGGTTGCATCGCGTTTTCGTAACTTCTGTTTAAGCTTTCATGCGCTCATTCATAAGTACATATGTATGTGTGAATTTTCTATATTTTTTTTATATTGTAGTGTTATACATACATACATACATCTGTTCTCACATTGCTAACGATCGAATGACCTAATTTACTTAAGCTGAATTCCTCAGTTGCTCAGTTGTGACTCCGTCAATGCACATAGTTCAACCCCCCACTTTTTTTTTTTCAAACAACGCAGTATTCATCTTTCAGATACATTTAAACATGTATGTATGTATGAATGTATGTACATACATACAACTTTGGCGATCAGGTCGCATTTGATGTGGCATAGATTAAATAGGTTGATGGCTTGTTGATGGTTGGCTTAAATGGAAAAACTTGTTACGCTAGCTGCAGCTAAAGAACACGACAGGGAGAAGATGAGGAAGTTGTTAGACTGCCATTCAGTCGTACTGTGCACGCATTAATTTGTAGTGCTCTCCGCTCATATGAGTGCATTTGGACATTGATATACATATGTACGTAGGTATAGAAATATGTATGTATATGTATATATAACAGTTGCATTACGTAGTATTCAGACCTACATACACATATGCTACATACATACAAATGAATACACCATTTTTATAGTATTATTTTGTAATATTTTATTTCCTTCTCCACATTTTGTATGCGGAAATGCTCAATAAACTATTACCGACGAGATTGACATTTCCGCTGCAAATACTTAATAGTTATTATATTGGACATAATCGAAGCTAAACATTTTGCCTAAATTACATGGAGACATGGTATGCATTTACGCCAACTAACAGCTGATCCATTACATGTATGTATATATATACATATATATAAGTATGTATACATATAATTTCCACCAACTTTCCACCAGCAACTAATCATGTTTTACGTAAAGGCTGCATTTCTGCCAGATGTCGATATTTCCTTTTTCTGGCATTTAATGATATTAATTTCCTTAGCGAAAGCTTAGTTGTTGTTGTCCTTAACTTGTAATTTGTAAACAGTTCAATTTAATATTTATGAATATAATAAATAACTAGTTTGAGCAAATACCGACAGCGTTGGAGCCGGCTTATTTCTCAGCATTGAAGTTGATTTTTTGGTTTGATATATTTTGAGAAATAATTAATGCTTTGTAAAGAGTGAAGAGTTTCAGTAAATTACGCAATTTATGTTAGCGGAATGGGGGTTGAGGGGTGTAAATTAGGAAATTAAATTATTTTTCCTTCTCAATATATTGACCTGCAAGACGGATACATTTTTCAGATATTTCAACTTCCTTCTTGACTTCAATGTCGGTGATATCAATCAGGGCCAAGTTTGAACCAATTTTCCCGTCGGAAAGTGCTGTATCCTTTTAAGGCACTGCATAATTGTCTCTGCGATTTGTCTCTCATTTTTCGAGCATCGTCGAGAACAATTTATGGATATGTTCTGGCGTGGACAACTCGAAGCCTCTACCCGGCCTAGGATTGTCTTTCCAAATAAAAAAAGTTAATGTAAAAATTAAATATAGATTAAAAATTACAAAAAATAAAATAAATAAATCTCACAAAAACAAAAAAAAATATAATATTTAGTAAAGAAACAAAAAAAATAATAAAAAAGTTAATAGAAACAAAGAAAAAAAATATAAAGAAATAAAAATTAAACTTAAAAGATAAAGTAAAAAAATTTAAAAAAAATTAGAAACAAATATTTAAAAACATTAAAAAAAACTTTTATTGAAATGTAAAAAAAATAAATAAATAAAAAGAAAAATTATAAAAAATAGGAAATAAATACAAAAAAATATGCAAAAGGAATAAGAAAAAATGAAATAATAAATAAAAAAATATAAAAAAATAAAAAATGAAAAAAATAAAAAGAAAATATAAATCAAAAAAATAAAAAAGGAAAAAGATAAAGAATAAGAAGGGAGAAAATAAAAGAAAGAATAAGTCAGAAAAAGATAAGAAAGAATAAAAAGGAAAAAGATAAGAATTAAGAAATGTGAGATAAAAACGTAAAAAATAAAACAGTTATAAAGGAAAAGTAAAAAAACATTTATAGAATTTAAAATATATATTATATATAGATATAAAAAATAAATATAAATATATATAAAAAAAAATAATAACATTTAATAAAAATTAATAAGAAAAAATGAAAAATAAAATTTATATTGCACAAACACTTAAAAAAAATATATATAAATTAATATAAGAGAACACCCCACTAAATTGAAAATATTTTACTCGACTAGCGAATCATGAGATTTTTAATTATAACCGTTACGGTTCCTGTATATTTCAGTTAAGAACAAAAATATATTTACTGCTTTCGATTGGAATTGATTTTCAGTAAAACCACTATTCGCATATTACCATCAGACATATCTACGTACGTTCATATAATTACATATGTACATCGTTCCTTTCAAGCAAACTCCTCGCATCTAATCTAAAACACGTGTAAAAGCTTTCAAATATTATTGTGCACACACACAATACGTTTTTAACGCCATTCACTTTCATTTTTTCCAAAAAGAAATATCAAAAGCTCAACAACTCAATAGATACCTTGCTCTTTTATCGATGCGCACTTATGTATGTACGTATGTATTTATGCACGCCGGCGAACAAATTGTACATTTGCAAACAAATACCCACATTTGGATATATGTATGTATGTACAAAGCTAAGGTTATTACTTTTTACATTTCCCTTTCTTTTTTCGCATCTATATTACGTTGCAAAGCGAGGAGTACGAAACAAATAGGTGAAGAGCCAACCGCATAAACAGTCAGTCATTTGACTTTTTCGTGCTGTGGGAATCCTCTACAGGGAATATCAGCTTGCATGGCTTGGAGTATTGGAGAAGTTTTTGTTTTTATGTATCTATGTAATTTTTTTTC